TCGGGCAGCTGCCCGTGAGCGTCGTGCAGGCGATGTGCTCGATGGTCACCGTGATGGAATTCTCAAATATTTTCACCGGCGGCAATTTGGAGGAATGGGATCTTTCGGGCTGCACTGCTCTCTCCATGATTTACCTCGAGAGGAACAACCTTGTCGGCGACGTCGGGAAATTCCTAGGAGCCGTTCCGGCCGCCTCGTACATCCAGGTCATCATTCTTTCCCAGAACCAGCTCACCGGCGAAATCCCACCGCAGATCTTCCAGATCCCGACGCTGACGCAGTTCGACGCGGACAGCAACCAGCTCACGGGCACCCTGCCGCTGATGCAGTGCACCGGGACACTCGCCAACATGGTTCCGACGGCCCTCAACGTGTCGGTGAATCGCATGTCAGGCGTGCTTCCGGAGCGATTCCTGGAGAACTGCAACATGAGCCAGATCGATCTCAGCCACAACCAGTTTTCCGGACCTGTTCCCGCTGGGATTTCTCAGAGCCAGTCATTGGCTGTTCTGGATCTGACGAACAATTCCTTCACGGGAGATGTTCCCGTGCCTACCAGCTGCCTCGGCAACGGTAACTTCCTCCTCCACTCACTGCGCCTCGGTCTCAACCAGTTTACTGGCAAGCTGCCGAACCTGCTCGGGAACTGCACGGGGTTGGAGGATCTGGACCTCTCGGGTCTCGAAATTACTGGCGATCTTAACGAAGGGTTCACGAACATGGGAGGTGGTTACAGCGTACTTCAAGTGAATCTTTCCAGCACGTCCCTCTCGGGCAATCTCCCAGAAGCGCTCAACAATTTCGTCTACATCTCCTCGCTCGATCTCTCCAACTCTCGCTTCCAAGGACCCGTTCCTTCCACCGTCGGCGATCTCATCAACCTGCGAAAGCTCGACCTGTCTGGTAACCAGCTGAGCGGCCAGCTACCAGCTCAGATCGGAAACCTCACAGCAGCCACTGCAATCGCCATGGAGCGTAACCAGCTTTCGGGAACCATTCCGCCTGAGATCGCTCCGCAGCCGTCCTCGCGCCACCTGGCGTTCCTCGCTGCGCTGGACCTATCAAACAACGACTTCACGGGACCCATCCCGTACGGATTCGCGAACGCGTCGTCGTCGTTCTACCTGGATGTGTCTCAGAACGAGCTGTCCGGCGCAATTCCCGGCGGCAGCTCCGGCTACTTCGCATCCGCGAACCCCGCGACCATCAGCGGGAACCAGGCTCTCTGCGGAATGCCCGGCTACCCGGACTGCCCGACCCCAAACAGCCTATCCGCGGGCGCGATCGCGGGGATTGTGGTGGGAGCGGTGGTCGGCCTGGTGCTGATTGCAGTGGCGGCGTGGTGGTTCTCCCGGAGGAACGACCCCTGGTCGGGCGGAACGATGCTGGTGTTTGAGAAGCTGGACTTCAAGCTCACGGTGGGGCACATCCTGGACGCCACGGAGTTCTTTAGCGACAAGTACAAGCTCGGCCGAGGCGGCTTCGGTACCGTTTACAAGTACGTTATTGTTGGTGGTGGTGCTGGTGCTGGTGGTGGAGGTGGTTGTGGTGGTGTGGTGGTATGTGAAATGGGTTATTCCTTGTGCATGGAAATGGAATGAGGGTGGTTTGGGGGATTGGACGATCTGACTGGCTGGAGGCAGAGGCTAGAGTAAGGTATTCTTATTTTAAGAGAGTTCTCTTTTGGCAGTGAGAATATGCCCAAGTAGAAGTTGATGTAGTTTTTCCTGCCTTCTTCTCATGCTCTCTTCCACCTTCCCATTTCCACATCTCCCCCACCCCTCTTATATATTGGCAAACAGGGCGTGTCTTCAGGATGGCCGGTCGGTGGCCATCAAGCGGCTGGCAGCGCAGAGCACGCAGGGCAACCGCGAGTTCCAAGCAGAAATGGAGACCCTCGGCAACATCCGCCACCGCAACCTGGTCGTCCTCGTCGCTGCCTACATCGCCCCCGGGCAGTCCACGGAGCGTCTGCTCATCTACGACTTCCTCTCGGGCGGCAGTGTGGATACCATCTTCATGAAGGAGCTTCCCAAGGATAATCCCTTCTGCAAGTGGTCGGTGAGGCGGAACGTGGCATTGGATACAGCGCGTGGGATGAAGTACCTGCACCACGACTGCACTCCTAGGATTATTCATCGCGATATGAAGCCCGGGAACGTGCTGCTCGATGACCAGATGGTGGCTCATGTTGCTGATTTCGGTCTCGCGAGGGAGATTGACGTGAAGCAGTCGCATATGTCGACCAAGGTGTTTGGAACTATCGGGTATCTTGCGCCCGAGTATACCCGCCAGGGCCGGCTTTCGTTCAAGAGTGACGTGTTTGCGTACGGAGTCATGCTGCTGCAGCTGATCACCGGGAAGCAGCCCACGGATGAGGACGTGGCGGAACGTGGGCTTGCCAGGTGGGCGGAGGCGAACGGCGCGGCGGCGATTGTGGACCCTCGGATGGAGCTGGAGCCCGGGGAGATTGACCAGATTCTGGGCGCGGTGAAGCTGGGGCTGCTGTGCACGGCGCGTGTGGCGTCTGACCGGCCCAGCATGCCTGAGATTGTGCATCTGCTGGAGAATCTGGAGGACTTTGCCAAGGGCGTGGGGACCATGGGCAAGGGGGAGAAGGAATGAGTGGTGGATGGATGCTGCATGGTGGTTGTTTGGGAGGTTGCTTCTGTGTCTGTGTTGGGAAGGGCTTGAATCGGGTGGGTGGTGGGCTGCTGGGTCAAGGATGTGGATGTGGGCACTGGGTATGTGGCCTGTTGCTTTGCTTTCTTGCAGGAACGCCCATGTTTTTGTGTGCTCCTGATCCTTGTTGTCACTCTTTGCTTACCAGGGATTTTGCCCTGTACAGGACAACCGTTGTATTTATTGCTGCTTGTCTAGATTTTTTTGTAGAGATACCAAACTCTGCTGCATCCGTTGCAGAGGTTCCTGTTGTGGGGCTTTTGCAACTTTATGCTTCCTCTATTTCATACTCAACTGTAATGCTGTCACACGTAATATTGATTTATAGTACACTTCCAAATAATTGGCAGAGATGTTTGCTTGTGTAGCAGAAACATACCGTAAGCCACGATCGTCGCTCGCCAATGTTGGAGGACCCCCCCGAAACTATTCACCGCGACTCGTCACGGGGAATGACATACAGTAGTGTGGGTCGCTCAGTGGTTGAAATTGGACTCCCTGCGCTCGTTACTCACCTCCTCGTTACTCGTATCGCATTTTGTCTCGTGCCCTACAGAACGCGGCGTGCATGTGAACCCACGACGCGGTTCTGTAGCGGGGGATCAGGCTTGACCTTGCTCAAGTTCGGGTTTGGACGGGATGAGAGGTGGTTCTGTATGTTATATTCAGGTTTAAAGTACGGTTTCCGGTGGACATGGAATGTTGGGCCAGCATTTACTAGTTTCAAGGTGTTCACACACTGTCCTCTCCTCTCCTACCCTGTTAGGGCGCGTAACCATTTTGGTTTTTCATGAAGTTACGTTTATAAACGAACGTTCGATAAATGGACGGTCCGTTTCCGATATGGAACCGTCCGTTTATCGAAACAGAACTCGAATATTCGAACCGCTAAGTTGAACTTTTTTCAAGTTTTGAATACTCGCGAAAATGAGAAATGTTACACAGTCAGACGACATTCGTACAGTTAGTTTGGCAGCTCGGATTAAACTTCGAAACACAATCTACGGTCAGTTTGGCAGCGAGGAAATGTCGGTTTCGACAGTTCCCGCAAAATCAGTGTCTTCTCGTGCGCCAACCACAAGTCGCCATATTTGATCAGTCCGTTGCTGACGAACCGTAACCGTTCAAGTGACGTTTTGCGGAAAGAGTTCCGTACGGTTCTGTTGCGACGGCGACGTCGTAGGGAATCGCGAACATTAGCGACAAAAGTTACCACTATTTCGAACGGACCGTCCGAATAACGAACCGTCAAAACCAAAATGGTTACGCGCCCTTAGTCGCATCCACAAAGCAGTTGGTTGGACATGACTGCTATTTGCTCAGCTGCTTATGCACGCAGAATGCAGTGCGACTTGGGGTGATGCAATCCAACATAGCGCGATGCGGTGTGATTAATGTCGAGCGACCAGTGGTAATGCGTGAGATAAGGAACATACAGCAGCGTCAGCCCTACTTGTTGAAAACTCGGTCGGCATTAAGCCAGGCCGTTATTACTATTCTCCTTTGATGCGATAGGAGAACCGATTACGTGTCACACACGCTCGGCGTACCCTCGTAATTGGTCATGATGCGCCTCAGAACAACGGCTGGCCAGTAACAAAGCAGCACCAGCGGCAACAACGGAACTTGCGTTGTGAAATGCGTTATAGGATGATCCACTCGAAGGTGCAATCGAATATGAAATCGCTAGTGAACTCGAAGACGAACTCGGAAAGGCGTCGGAAGGTGCACTTTAGGATGCACCACTGGAAGTCGTTCTTCATCCTCGTTATAAGCGCTTCCGCAGGTAAGTCTGCGCACTCACCTATTTTCTGCTCACTCATCTCGCACCTGTTCAGTCTCGACCTTTCCCAAGCTAGCCTCCCTCACTACCTCCTTCCCTCCGCCTTCCCCCCCTTTCATTGTATCTCTTCCCTTTCCCTGCCTTCCCCTCCCTTTCCTTCATATAGTTCCCTCAACGAGTCATTAACAGTTCCTATTTCCTCCTCTCCCATCCACATGACGTTGTATCACTTGGGCCGCATCACTTGGGCAGCATCAAGTCTTTGCATCTCTCCAAAATCCCTCCCCTCCTCCTCTCCTCCCCTCTCAGCCCCCTATGCCGAGCAGTGCAAGGCTCGTCAACAGTAGTGCGGAAGCTGTACCTCGTGCACACACCTCCGCTTTTGAGAATTCTCAAAAGTACCTGGTGCATATGACCTCCGCACCACCAGTAGTGGCTGTGAACCGCGTCATCATCCCTTCTCTTCTCCGACCCCCTTCCCCTCCATGCAGTGCAAGGCTCTTCCACAGAGCAAAGAAAGCTGTACCTGGTGCACATGACCTCCGCACCACCAGTAGTGGCCTATACTGGGGGAATCCCAGGGCTCAGAGCCACAGCCGCTGGTTCTGCTGCTTCTTCTGCTGCTCGTGGTGGGGTTGGTGGTGGTGGTGCTGGTGGTGGTGTTGGTGGTGGTGTTGGTGGTGGTGGTGTTGGTGGTGGTGTTGGTGGTGGTGGTGTTGGTGGTGGTGTTGGTGGTGGTGGTGGTGGTGGTGGTGGTGGTGGTGCTGCTGCTGCTGCTGCTGCTGCTGCTGCTGCTGCTGCTGCTGCTGCTGCTGCTGCTGCTGCTGCTGCTGCTGCTGCTGCTGCTGCTGCTGCTGCTGCTGCTGCTGCTGCTGCTGCTGCTAAACGTTCCATTGACTCAAAAGCCGCATTCAAGGCTGCGGCACACGCTTCTGAACGCGGTGCAGGTAGCCGACTCGATATAAGCACACCCAGAGCAAGCAGCAGCGCGAAAGCTGTATACCCGGGAGCAGCAGGCGCAGGCAGCAGCAGCACCTACTGGAGCAGCGGGGGAGGAAGCGGAGAGAGAAAATCCTTCCGACCCTTAGCTGATTTGCCTCAGGTTAAAGCCTATCAGCAGCACCTTCTCAGCACACACAGGTCTGCCCTGGCCTCGGTGGGAGCCTCGGAATCGAGCCTACTCTACAGCTACGGAGTCACAGCGAATGCTGTGTGTGCGTCTTTGACAGCGCAGCAGGCAGAGGAGTTGAGAAAGCGGCCAGGGGTGGGGCAGGTGGTGAGGGCGAAGGGGAAAGTGCGAGCTTTTACGACGTACACGCCCAAGTATATGAAGCTGGGGAAGGCGTGGGGGGGCGTGGGCGGGCAGGGGCGAGCAGGGGAGGACGTGATAATTGGAGTGCTGGACTCGGGGATTTGGCCGGAACACCCATCCTTCTCGGACAAGGTGAGACCTCGTGTGTGTGTATGTAGGGGGTCGTGTACCGGCAGGAGCCAGCAAGGCAAGAGCGAGCAGGGGCGGGCAGGGGAGGACGTGATTATTGGAGTGCTGGACTCGGGGATCTGGCCCCGAACACCCTTCCTTCTCAGATAAGGTGAGACATGTGATTGGGTGGGTGTGTGGCTCTTTGACGGCGCAGCAGTCAGAGACAAGAGAGACTGAAAAGCAGTCGGGGGTGTGGCAGGTGATGAGGGCGAAGGGGAAGGTGCGAGTGTTTACGACGACATACACGCCCAAGTATATGAAGCTGGGGAAGATGTGGGGGGGCGTGGGCGGGCAGGGGCGAGCTGGGGAGGACGTGATTATTGGAGTGCTGGTCTGGTCTCAGGGATTTGGCCGGAACACCCTTCCTTCTCCAATTCTCTCTCTGTCTTCTCTCCTTCCCCCTTCCCTCTCCCCATCTCCCCTCCCACCACCCACAGGGCTACGGGGCAGGGCAGTGCCCAAGAAGTGGAAGGCGGCGTGCACGGGGCTGAGCAGGTGCAACAAAAAGCTGAGAACGCTCACCACTTCAATGCCTCCCTCCCCCTCTCCTCATCCCTCCCACCACCCACAGGGCTACGGGCCAGTGCCCAAGAAGTGGAAGGGGGCGTGCACGGGGGGGGCTGAGCAGGTGCAACCGCAAGCTTTCCATGAGGGCCTAAAGCCATTTTTCCTCCTCATCTCTGGCAGGGCTATGGACCAGTGCCCAAGCGGTGGAAAGGGGCGTGCACAGGACTGAGCAGGTGCAACAAAAAGCTGATCGGAGCGCGCTACTTCCTCAAGGGCTACGAGGCGGAGTATGGCAAGCTGGCTCGGGGGGAGTACCGCTCTGCCCGGGATGCTGGCGGTCACGGCACGTGGTGTGCAGGGTACGTGGAAAAGGGGGGTGAGTAACCGGGGGAGGGTGGGATGGGATCGGGCACGTGATCATTGGTGCTCGCTTCTCCCTCAAGGGGTACGAGGCGGAGTACGGCAAGCTGGCTCGAGGGGAGTTCCGATCCCCATTCCCTCCGCTTATCACTTAGCTGATAGGAGCACGCTACTTCCTCAAGGGGGACGAGGCGGAGTACGGCAAGCTGGCTCCGGGGGAGTTCCGCAAGCCCACCACTTCCCTCTCCCACTTCCCTCCCTCCTAACTGGTGTGCGGGATACGTGGTAAGGGGGGCGAGGGAGAAGGTGCACATGGTGGGCTGGGTGCGCTTCTCCCTCAAGGGGTACGAGGCGGAGTATGGCCCCCTGGCTTCGGGGGGAGTACCGCTCTGCGAGAGATGCTGGCGGGCACGGCACGTGGTGTGCGGGGTGAGTGAGTTGTATGAGGGGGCCTGGCCGTGTGGCGATGGGTGCAAGCGAGCTTCTTCCTCAAGGGGGACGAGGTGCAGCGGAGTATGGCAGACTGGCACCGGGTGAGTTACGTTTTGAGTCGACTCAAAACTATCCTCAAGGGGTACGAGGCGGAGCGGAGTATGGCACCGGGTGAGTTCCGCTCTGCCCGAGACGCTGGCGGGCACGGCACGTGGTGTGCCCAATGAGTCGTGGGGCGTCTCGAAACTTGTAGGTCCCAGTGTCGCCCTCCCTCCCTCCAGTGTCACAGCACCACACCACCCCTCCTCAGTCAACTGCTGCACCCACTCCTTCCTCACCTGCAGAGCAGGCAATGCCGGGGTGGTTCTTTCAGATCGACGAATTTAGACCACCCACACTCTTCCCCTCCCCTCCCTCCCCCTCCCCTTCTTTTCCCCTTCCCTACCCCCGCCTCCCCTACTTCCCCTTTCCAATCGCACAGGGCAGCAGCAGGCAACGCCGGGGTGGTTCTGACAGTTTGGATCGTTCACACTGCCTCCCTTTCCCTCCCCACCTCCCTTCCTCCCTCCGCCACCCTTCCCCCCTCGCCCTCTTCCCCTTTCCAATCGCACAGGGCAGCAGCAGGCAACGCCGGGGTGGTTCTGACTGACGAGTTTGGATCGACAGCGGGGCCAGCCAGTGGCATGGCGCCACGTGGCAGGCTGGCAGTCTACAAGGCGATCTGGTTCAACGCGTCAGAGGGGTACGGCCACGACTGCGACATCTTTGCAGCCGTTGATCAGGCCGTCGCGGACGGTGTGGATGTGCTCTCCATGAGCATTGGATCCGGCGAGGATACCTACTTTGGCGACCTGCCCTTGTTAAGAGCGGTGCAGGTGGGTGAGGGGATGTGAGAAGGCATGGGAGGGTGTGGGAAGGTGTGGGACGGCCTGAGACAGTGTGGATGTGCTCTCCATGAGCATTGGATCAGGCGAGGATACATACTCTGGCGACCTGCTGCTGTTAAGAGCGGTGCAGGGGGGTGAGAGGTTGTGGGGGCGTGGGAGGGTGTCAGAGGGTGTGGGAGGGTGTGAGAGGGTGTGAGAGGGTGTGAGAGGGTGTGAGAGGGTGAGAGAGGGTGTGAGAGGGTGTGAGAGGGTGAGAGAGGTTGCGAGAGGATGTGAGCAGGGCTCCTCGTCGCACCTCTCCCTTGTTGCAGGTAAGCCAGTGTGTCACCCACCTTGGCAGCAGGCATTGAGGAACCTTCCCCTTCCCCCCCTCAGTGACCCACTTCTATGCGCCCCTGCTGCCCCTCCCTTGCTTTGACGCGTCTCAACACTCTCCTGCTGCCCCTCCCTTGCTTTGACGCGTCTCAACACTCTCCTGCTGCCCCTCCCTTGCTTTGACGCGTCTCAACACTCTCCTGCTGCCCCTCCCTTGCTTTGACGCGTCTCAACACTCTCCTGCTGCCCCTCCCTTGCTTTGACGCGTCTCAACACTCTCCTGCTGCCCCTCCCTTGCTTTGACGCGTCTCAACACTCTCCTGCTGCCCCTCCCTTGCTTTGACGCGTCTCAACACTCTCCTGCTGCCCCTCCCTCGCTGCACGTCTCGATACACGAGCAGGCGGGTGTGTTCCTGGCCATGGCAGCGGGCAACGAGGGACCGCCCCCCATGGCAGGGAAGCCCTATGGGCCCTATGGGTCCTATGGGCCCTATGGGTCCTATGGGTCCTATGGGCCCTATGGGTCCTATGGGCCCTATGGGTCCTATGGGTCCTATGGGTCCTATGGGTCCTATGGGTCCTATGGGTCCTATGGGTCCTATGGGTCCTATGGGTCCTATGGGTCCTATGGGTCCTATGGGTCCTATGGGTCCTATGGGTCCTATGGGTCCTATGGGGCCCTATGGGCTCCCCCCAGAGCCGATTGATATGCCCTGCCCCTCCCTTGCTGCATGCAGGCAGGTGTGTTCCTGGCCATGGCAGCGGGCAGCAAGGGACCGTCACCCATGGCAGACTGCTAGGTATCATTCTGCAGTGAGTCCTGTTTCTCATGCTCCCATGCTGCTTCTCTCATTCTGCCCCTGCCTTGCTATGTGCAGGCGGGTGTGTTCCTGGCCATGGCAGCGGGCAACGAGGGCCCACCCCCTACGACTCAGAAGCCCTTTGGGTTCCGCACTCTCAGCAACGCTGCTCCCTTCTATCTCACTGTCGCCGCCAGGTGGGAAGCACACTGTTTCTCACCTTCTCACCCTCATTTTCCCTCTCACTGGTCGCACTCTCAGCAACGCTGCTCCCTGTTATCTCACTGTCGCCGCCAGGTGGGAGGCACACTGTTTCTCACCCTCTCACCCTCATTTTCCCTCTCACTGGTCGTACTCTCAGCAACGCTGCTCCATTCTACCTCACTGTTGCTGCATGGTGGGTGGCTCATTGTGTTTCTCACACTAACTCTCTCCATTCGCCTTCCGCACTCTCAGCAATGCTGCTGCATTCTGCGGCACTGTTGCCGCCAGGTGGGTGGCTCATTCAGTCTGGTGGGTTGCTCCCTGTCGCTGTCCCATGGGTAGCTTATTGTTGCTCACCCTCACTTCCCCTCTCACCCTCACTTCCCCTCTCACCCTCACTTCCCCTCTCACCCTCACTTCCCCTCTCACGCTCACTTCCCCTCTCACCCTCACTTCCCCTCTCATCCTTACTTTCCCTGCTCCTTCTTCCACTTCTCTCGACACCCCAGCTCAACAGATGACGACTGGGGTTTCTTTGGTCGCTCTGCACAGTCAGCAAAGTCAACGCAAGTCAACGGCACCTCGCTGCCTGCTGCTGCAACTGCCGTCCAGGTGAGAGGCCTGTCGGAAGCATCAGGGGAATTTTCAGATGCAGTGTCAGTTGAGTGTTCAGGTGATTGCCAGGTAATTTGTTGGGTTAGAGGTCAGGTGTCTTTGGGTGATAAATTTCCAGGTACAGCTTCAGGTGAGGCGTCAGGGGGATCTTCAGGAGATGCATAATCAGGTGCAACTTCAGTTGATGAACATGAGTCCTCACACCCCGTCATTTCCCCCTCGTTATTACCTTGCTTTCGTAATCCATTCCCAAACCCTCCCCACACTCCCCCCTTCCTCGCGAGCCTGCCTTTACAGGCGCCTCAAAACCCGCAACCCTCCAGTATCTCCCAGCTCTCCCCTCCCCTCCTCACCTCCCGCCTCCCGCTCCTGTCCTCCCCTCCTTCCCTGCCTGCTCCCCACATTTCACCCCTCCCCCGACCCAGCCAAGGCAGCTCTCAGACCCCATGATAGCCCCCTTCTCTTCTGCCGAGCCTTTCTATTGAGGTGCCTAAAAGCCTCTCTCTCCTCTTCCCCACTCCCCCTCCTTCCTCGTTTCTCCCCTTCCCTCCACCACCACAACCATCCCCCCTCTCCCCCCACCCAGCCAAGGCACCTCTCAGATCCCATGATGGCTTCCTTCTCTTCTGCCGAGCCTTTCCATTGAGGCGCCTAAAAGCTCCCCCCTTTCCCTTCCCTTCATTCCCTTTCCCCCCCTCCCCCCACACACCGGCGCCCGCGCCAGCCAAGCCAGCTCTCAGACCCCATGATGGCCCCCTTCTCCTCCGCCGGACCTCCCTTAAACCCCAACAAGTTACCCTCCTCCTCGCCCACCCTCACCAACAACCTCTTAAAGCCAGACATCACTGCCCCTGGTATCACCCGCCTTGCTGCTGCTCCCGGGGGCACTAATGGTCAAGCTTGGTTCTCCAGTAAAAGCGGCACGTCAATGTCTACACCTCAATTGGCCGGAATCGCCGCGCTTATAATCCAAAAATACCCCACATGGAGCCCTGCAGCAGTTAAATCCGCAATAATGACGACAGCTACCGTGATGAACCGGCAGGGTGGGTTTATTTTGGATTCGCTCGGAGTGAAAGGAACACCCTGGAATTACGGGTCAGGGCACGTAAATGCCCCGAAAATTCTCAACCCTGGGCTGGTATACGACGTTGGGTTCGCGGGCTACGCGAATTTTCTGGCCGGGCTGAATATGCCGAAAGCTCGGCAGATGCTGGGAAAAACTGCGTCGCTTTCGCCAATCAAGGCGTGGAATCTAAACCAGCCGAATATTTGTGTTTCGCAGTTGTCTACAGTGGTAACTGTAACCAGGAGGGTTACAAGTGTGGCTGGGCGTGCCCGGACCTACAAGCTTCAGCTCGGATCCATGCCTAACGTAGCAGTAGAAGTCTCGCCGAAGCAGTTCACGATTCTGGCCGGGCAGAGCATAACCTTTTCGGTGAAGCTGACCCCAAAAAGGGGCACCAGAAAGTTTTCGTTTGGCAGTTTGGCGTGGACGGATGGGGTGCATTGGGTGAGAACTTCTATTGCCGCCCAGCCTATGGTGGCACTATAATGAAGGTGACTCAGATATACAATATAATAAAGGCATGGCACGATGTGCATGTATGTATAGACCATGGTGTTATTCTAGTGTAGGAGAGAGTTGAGTTGATAAGCTGATCCCCTTGACCACCACTTCCCTTCCCTGTTTTGCCCCTCCCTCAGCCTTGCATGGTGATGGTAAGAGCATGGCCCACATTTTGTTTCCAGGCACTTAAACACAATTGCTCTGATGACATGACATGATGGCACGATATGATGGCAGGCATCATGGCATGATGACATGACAGTATGATGGCATGCAAGATGGCGAGGGCATGATGGCATGATGTTATGGCGCTACAGGTAGTGGGGCCGTAAACACCTCTGTTGTACAATAATCGGCTATAAGACCCCCCCACCCCCCCCCCACACCACCAAGTTGTGGACCCCGGGTCGGGTCTACAATACGGAGCTGTGTCTTATATTTACGGTATTGCATCATCAATCAAACGTATCACTAGCACCCTGCCGTTGATGCATTTTCGCTTATAAGTATTCGCTCATGCCTTCGCGGTACTTTGTACTCGTTTGACACTTTAGTGCAATCCTCGCTACCTCGTTCGATTGCACCCGTAACAAAAGTGAAAGCATGTCTTTAATATCTCCCAAACTATATCTAGCATCTCATTCATGTAAAATAAGGTGCAATAAGATCACAACATACATTGCCTTGCTTGACTCGATTCCATACAAAGTACCACCTTCATTCTTATGGCATGTCATTCGCTCGCAGGCACGCTGTAGCCAACTGCCCAATGTTATGTTCACCCATGCCAATTGTACATGCAGCTTCCTCTGTGGCCCCCCCTGTCCTTCCCTCACCACTATGTCTCCCTCCATCGCCTCGTTTTGTGGCTCTCGTTGCCATGCCCTCTCCTTCCTCATTTACCCTCTACTGTTTGTATCTCCTCCTCATCCTCTTCTCACCCAAAACATCATTGCTCCTTCTCTGCCTTCAAACCTCTCCCTTCTCTTCCCCTTCGTTTTTACCCACTTCTCCCCTCTCACTACTCTCTTCCTCATCTTTCTCCACATTCTCTTCTTCTTCACCAGCCCGATCCTTCACCTTACGAATCCCTCTCCGTTCCAGTGGAACCCCTTCCTCCTCATTCTCCTCACTCTCGTCTCCATCTGAACAACAAAATACCTGCTTTAATCCTTCTACCTGCAGCTCACTAACACCAACATCCTCCCTGGCACCAACATCCTCCCTGGCACCAACATCCTCCCTGGCACCAACATCCTCCCTGGCACCAACATCCTCCCTGGCACCAACATCCTCCCTGGCACCAACATCCTCCCTGGCACCAACATCCTCCCTGGCACCAACATCCTCCCTGGCACCAACATCCTCCCTGGCACCAACATCCTCTCTGGCACCAACATCCTCCCTGTTGTCATCCTCACGTTGCAGCAGCTCCAACTGCCCGTCTGCTTCCTGCTGCTGCACAAGCCGCACCTCTAAATCCTCTCGCTTCTCACAATCGTTGGTACAAACATCACTACTGTCGGTGCGCTCACTCGGCTCACTTGCCTCACTCAAATCACTCGCCTCACTCTCTGCCTCTTCCACAACCTCTTCAATCTCCCCTCTCACCTCTGTCTTCATATTCCTATCAGCGATTCCTCCAACTTCCTCGACCTCGTTCCTTCCTTCTCCCGACCCACCAGACTCCTCCTCAGGTCCTCTTAATCCCGCTGCTCGTGCATTTCTCCTCTCCTCCCTCCGTGCCTTCCTCTCTCTCCTCTCTCTTCTCTCCTCCTTGCCTTTCTTCTTAGCCTCCTTCAACCCCTCTCTCATAACCGCCAGCCTGGCGAAAACCTTTTCCAGCTCATCAAGCGCACCAAGCCCATCCAATAGAATCGAATCTTCCATCGCCACTCCCACCTGCTCCAGCCGTTGCTGCACGCTAATCTTCGCCGCCCGGCACTGAGAGTGAATAGACAAAACCAGCTCTCCCTTCAGAACCTCCTCCTTCTCCTTCACACTGACTGATTCGCACGAGTCGAGCACACTCACAAGAAGCTCAGCTGTCTCTTTTGCTCTTGCAAAGTCCTCCTTCACATGACTCAGTTCCAACTCAGGCCAAGGACTCTCACTGTTGCTCTGGTCCGGAAATTCGTTTTCCCCTTCCTGTTGCTGTGCTTGCGAAACGATCAGCACTCGTGGAATGCGCTGCCGAGCCTGGTCACGAGGTCCGGCGAGGAAGTCCGCAGGCATGGCGATAACGTCCGGGCGTGGGTCGGAGGTTTGGAGGTGCCTTGGGAATGCCGAGAAGGATGATGGGGGATGAGTGGCACCTGAGAGTGGGTCGGGTGCTGCATGGCATGAATTAGGATGGTGAGGTGCGTTGGATTGGAGGTGAGCGGAGGTGGGTGGTGGTCCTGGGGGATGGAATGGGGACGAGGAGGAGGAAGGGACTCTGATGCCTTGCTCCCTGAACGTCTGCAAGAGATGGTGGACGGAGATAGGGGAGGAAGGAGGGGAGGTTTAGGACTTAGTCTACAACGAAACCTGCAGAAACCCTAAACGAAGGTGGAGTTCTGGAATATCACCCATCAGCACACTCAGTTTGTATATTGTACATTGAAATATTAATCGTAGACATTGTTGTTTTATTTCAAGCTACAGAGATGCACCCTGACTGCTTCGCAGAAGTCAGCACAAATGCGATAAAAACAAACTGATTGCTTCTTCGAAGTCGCACAGCCATTATCAACTCACCCGGATTGCTTCTTCGAAGTCGTGCAAGTATCGCGTTTCCTCCATTGTCGCCCACATTGCGATCAGCCGCACCACATTGTCTTTCACGCGCACCGGCGTCTTTTTCTTTCCCGCCATGCGAACCATCTTATCCAGCACGCCTTCGCGCGCCACGTCTTTAAGGATGTGCGGCTCGCTTGCGACAACGTACTCGGCGACGGCGAGCGACAGGAGATGCACGTGCGCGTCGTGCGTCGCCAGGCGACGTCGCAGCGATCGCATGACGTCGCTTCCACGAATCGTGCCGTTTTCGAGTAGAGTCGAGAGTTGGAGGGCGGTGGACCAATCAGGAGCGAGGAGCTCCGCGTTTGTCGCTTTCTCAACGAGTATATCGGCGGACCCTCGAGAGATGGAAAAGGTGAACATTTTCGTAAGTTTATTGTATTTCCCTAACAACTACTACGTAACAAGGGACTCACAGATCAGAGCATAATACAACTCAGCTGCTGTCTATCTGCGGACACTATCCACTTCTCAAAACGCGGAGGAAGTGGAAGAGTTGAAACACAGAGGATGCGGAAAAGTATCAGGTGATTCTAAAGGCGGAGTTCCAGAACGTTAGACCAAGGTTGCTGCGCCATGAAATCCAAGATCGGGGAATATATACTGAAGGGTTCGTCGCTACTATTTTCAGGGAGCAGGAAGTTGGTGGGAGGGAAGATGGGGATGAGGCGAGGTAGGGAAAAAGGAGCCGTTGGTGACTGCCTGCCGAGCCAACTTGTCGTGCTTCGGTAAGCAGGTTTATGGCGGGTCATGTGAATCACCCGTAGGTCTGGGAGAAGTTCGTTGCGTGTTTGTCTTGGTAAGGCAAATATGTCCCACATGGCAACCAATGAATAGCTGCCTGCAGCGACACGTCGGCTCGGGGGGGAAAAAAGAAGGGGGGTTTGGTGGCGGGTCAATACCCTCGGCGATTTCAGCCAGGTCAAGAGAGTCGTGTCCTTGATAGTAGCGTAATCCGCGATGAGGATTTGTGTTAGGGATATAATATTTGTGGCTTGAGAACACATCAAACCCATTATATCTCTAAATAACTTGCCCATGTTGCAGAATGTTTTTGGGACAAGTTCACATGGAACACCCTCACACACATACAACCCCTATCAGCATATAGAATTACTATGTTATGTGAAATAACAAAAAAAAAATCTAGCCATCAAATACACAAATTCAGGCACACATCCCTTCCTGTTTTAGAAATACACCTCGCTGTTCCCTTCTGTCTGCCCTGCCACCCCACCCTCAACAGCAGGAGAAGCAGCAGAATCACCTATCGCCACTCCACCAGCACGAATCTTATCAGCCACCCTCCCCTCCACTGCCTCTGCTCCAGCTTCTGCTCCAATCCCACCTCCACCTTCCACCACACCCCCCTCTCCTCCAAAGGAGCTATCCCCATCCTTCACTTCTCCTGCCTTGACTGTGTTTCCCTCCTCCTGGTTTCCCTCCTCCTCCTGTGTTCCCCTGTCCTCTCTGTCCCCACTACTCGCCCTACCCTCTCCATCTCCTTCCAAAGAATGGCGTCTCCCTCTCTCCAATGCCTCCCCCTCCTCTTCCTCCTCTCCACTCTCATACCCTTCATCTTCACCCTCCTCTATGGTCCCTACATTCCCCCCCCCTCCACTCCCACCACCAACCCCCTCTCCTCCACACCCCATCACCCACTCCGCAACCCCCCCTGTCCCTTCCCCACTCTCCCCAGCACCCTCCCCCCCACTCCTCCCCCTCCCCTTCCCCCCTCCCCTCCCCCGTCTGTGCTGCTTCTTCCCCTGAGCCCCCTTCACCTCATCCCGCATGGCTGCCAGCCTGGCAAGGGCGGCATCCACGTCATCAACAGCAGAGAGCCCGTCAAACAGCAGCGAATCATCTGGCAGCACTGCCTCCTGCTGCAGCAGCCGCTGCAAGGAGCGCTTTGCCGCCCGGCACTGGGCCGCAAGCGACACCACAGCCTCGTCCTGTTGGCGAAAGAGCGGGGGAGAGGGGAGGAGGCAGGGAGATGAGAGGGACGGAGGAGGGTGAGAGACAACCATGGAGCATGGGAGAGAGAGAGGTAAGGAGGAAGGTGAGGGAAAGAGAGAGGGAGGGAGGGAGGGAGGGAAGCGAGGGGAAGGGGGAGCGACATGAAAAGCAGCGTTAAGAGGTCTAGATAAGCAGAAGCATGGGGGCTGTGGTAGAGGAGGGAGAAAGACATCTGACAGCATTGCATCTGCAGCAACAGCAGCTGCAACCGCTGCCTTAGCGCCCCGCATTGGGTTGTGAGGGATATCGCGAAAGGTTTTTTCAGGCGCCTCAGAAGAAAGTATTATGGTTTTACTCAGGGCCTTATGTTCTGACACCCGGCTGTCAGGGATACCCGAGTCTCTTTTGTGAGTGGACACGTGAAAGATTTTTGAGAATAACAAAAAATATCCTTTCATATTCTGAGCCAAGGTCATTCCAGCGCCAGGCCAACAGAAAGAAGGAAAAAAAAACAAAACAAAACAAAACAAAACAAAACAAAACAAAACAAACAAAACAAAACAAAACAACAACAAACAAAACAAAACAAAACAACAACAACAACAACCACCAAACTTCACCCCACTGCGCGTTCTCTCGCTACTCCCCATCCCCCACCCTATCTCCATCTCTCCCCCAATACCCTCTTTCCCTGCCAACTCCCTCCCAGAAACTTTTTAGTCTACTAATGACCCGCAAAACAGTCATCTTTCCAACCACCCCGCCACATCACTCACCCTAAAAGCCTCAGTTTCAGGTGCTGATGTGAAAAAAGTAGTGAGCAGGTCTCCAGTGTTTCTAGTCATAGTAACGATTTCCCTTGAAGACCTCTCAAGCCACGACTCACCTTGAGAGCTTCAATTGCAGGCGCTGACGTGAGCATGGTGGTGAGCAGCTCTGCAGCGTTTCTAGCCATTGCAAAAGTTGTCTTGGGATCCGCCTCTCCCTCTCCCGCACCCATCCATGCTGCCTCCTCCGCTGCCTCCCGCTGCCGCTGATGGTGATTGTGATGATTCTGATGCCTGTGTGTGTGGTCATTTCTTCCCCCAGCAGAACCAGCAGCTGCAGCACCAGCAGCACCAGGCATGACGAACCTCACGTGCGGTGTGGTCCGCTGACCCTGGGTGTTAGGTCCAGCAAGGAAGTCCGCAGGCATGGCAACGACCTCCCGGTGCTGGTTCGGCAGCTCGGAGGGAGGTCTGGTGATGTGGATGCGCCCCGCCCCTCTATAAGCATCTCCGATAACGGACTCGAAGGGGAGGAGCCGGGGGATGCGCTGAGGGGGTGTAGCAACCACAGGGAATGTCACCCCTTTCTCCTTGAGCTCCTGATGAAATAATGGTGATGAAATAAAACCAGGGGGGCGGAAGGGAGGAGGGGTGAGGGAATTTTTAGTCGACTAAAAAAAGGTGACCACAGGAAAACTCACCCCTTTCTCTTTGAGTTTCAGATCATGGTAATGAAATAGAAATGGGGGAGAGGGAGTTGACAGGAGAAACTAAAAAATGGACGAGGCATAGTTGACCCCTCTCTCATTTTGAACCGCTGCGTGGGAGGGGGGGGGGGGGAGGGCACATGAGACGACGAAAGGGTGGGGGGAGACGGATTGGGCGAGAGGAGGAAGGAGGAGTAAGGACGTGATAGCAGAATGGCTTGCATGGATTGGATGCCATTCTGCAATCCATGCTGCAATCCATGCTCCTCCTTCCTCCTATCACGTCCTGGCAATCCATGCAAGGACGAGATAGCAGAATGGCTTGCATGGATTGTATGCCTTGCATGGATTGCATGGCTTGCGTGGCAGCACAGGTTGCGCAGCAGACTAGATGGGCATTGCAGCATGGCTGGTCATGGCAGCATGGATGGTCATGGCAGCATGGATGGCAGCATGGATGGCAGCATGGATGGCAGCATGGATGGCAGCATGGATGGCAGCATGGTCGACATGCTACACAGAGGGGAGTAAGAATCAGGTGCACTTGAATAAGCCCAGGAGCAATTGCCGACAGCAGAACTGCCATTCAAAGCTCGTGTTACAAAGTGTAAATAAAGAGAACTATGTACACAGGACAAATCACAAGGAAGGAACCAATAACCAGACCTTCAATACCTAATGAACTGCCAAGGAATGCTCTATATCATACACGCTTGCACCGGCCTCGTTTCAGGGTAACCCAAAAAGGCATGACGGCGCAACATCCAGACACTTAATGGCGTTTCCTTCATCAGGGAATTCAGTGCTCGGGTGTACTACCCGTTCCACTGAACCCATGACCCCTTAATCCTCAAATCAACAAACAGCGGTTTTCACAGCTTAAGCTTCCTTCCTATCCTCTCCTCTGCTCGAGCCCCTTTCCCCAAAAAAGGTTAATGGCATATCAAGCAGCAACTGCAAGGGCGTGGCGTGCACTCAGGCCAACTCAGGAAGTCAACTCAGGCCAGTGGGGTCAGCAGCACATCAAGGCTGCAAGAGCATCGCATTGCTGCAGGGAGGAGAACAACAAAGAGGCACATATGGGCATTGTTTGCATGGTGTTTGAGTGAAATGACGTCTCTACCCAATTTCATCTAGTTTCTCTATGTCACTGATTCAGTATACATCTCACAAATCGTTTCCTTGGCGCTTGAGTTGGTGTCTGTAATCCCATTTTCTCTAGTTCTTTCGCCACAATTCGCCGACACCACATCCGGTTTTATTTACTCGTCTTCACCACATTTCCCCCACACTCCGTTTACCATAAACATCACCCTGGTGGTGTAGATACCAGCCCTTTGTTTTCCAGCCCTCGTCCCCCTTCTTTTCCCATCCCGCGCTGACGTAAATGCCCTTTTTATGTAAATGTTGCCGTTATACCCCCTTCCGCTCTCCCCCCCCCATGTCTTCACCTCATCCCCCGCACCACCCGCCACTCACCCTAAACGTCTCTTCGAAAGCGGGGAAGTACCGCGTCGCCTCCATCGGCGCAGCCCACGCCTCGATCAGTCTAAGAACGTTCTCCCTGACGCGCGCCTGCGTCTTAGGCTCCACCGCCATTCGCGCCATGTCTCCTAACACGCCTTCCCGCGCAATGTCCCCCAGAACCTGCGGTGCGCTTCCGACTACCGACTCCGCGACCGCCAGCGCGAGCAGCTGCACGTGCGAATCGCGCGTCGCCAGGCGACGTCGCAGGGCCCGTGCGACGTCGCCACCGGGGACACGGCCGTTCTGAAGGAGGTGCGAGATTTGCAGGACGGTGGACCAATGGGGAGCGAGCAGCTCCTCTGCCGTGGCGCGGTCTACTAATATATCCGCCTGCGTGGTCGGCAAAACTAGGTCTTTAACGCGCTCGCCAACGACGGAAACCTGTTCCTCCAATCGGCTTCCGACAGCTGTCGCGGCCTCCGTGACACGCTTCCCCAGCTCCGCGCTCGACGCGCGCACGCGCTGCCCGACAGCCGCGAGCTTTCCGCGCCAATCGCCGCCAAAGGCGGCGGCGGCGGAGGAATCCCCTGGACGACTGTACGCCGCCGCGGCTCGTGAGAAATCTGGATCGGACAGTGATGAACTCTGCTGACGAGCCTGCAGCTCTTGCTGCTGTTGTTGCTGCTCGTGTTCTTCGTCACGGCTCGTGTCGTGTGCGCCTAGCAGCGGCACTTCATAATCCATCTCAGCTGACCTAATGCTTCAATCCAACAATGCGAGTGAAGCAGCGAGGAGAACGAGTCAGAAAACCTTTTCCAGGCGAATCGGCTAAACTATTGGCAGTTGAAAAGGTAGTAAGGAGATTCAAAAGATGAATTCGGGTTAGCGAGTGTGACATTTATATTTAGAGACTGTGTGTGTGCGTGCAAGGCCGTGGGGCACACGGCATGGATGACAGGGTGAAGGGACAAGGAGAGGAAGGGAGGGAACGGGGGGGGGAAGGGGTGGGGATGCGGGGAGGAGGAAGGGGAAGGGTTGGGGAGCAAGCGAGCGACAGACCGAGTGAGCGAGCGATCGGGGCGACGACCAAGCCACCAACCAAGCGACGACGAACCAAGGGTTGTGCGAACGCGGAATGTTGCTGATTCGCTGAATGTCCGCTTCCGTCTGCTGACTCGTCAGGGGTCGTTTGCGACTGTTGGCACCCTCGTTCGGCGAGCCCAAGGAAACTCGATTGAGAGGGGTGTGGTGAAAAGAAACGCGGATGTTGATGTTGGTGCTTACCACATTGAGGACGTAATTGACCGGACTGTACCTTTCAGTGTACTGAAAGGCTCCTTCGCACGGCGTTGAAGTTAGGAAAGCGAGGGTGGACTTGCTGGGCTTGACGAGGTTGAACAAGCTACTGTAGTATTGACGACCGAGAACCGTGGTGTCGTTTGGAACGCGTCGTTCTGACTTCGGGCTCGGGCGTGTCGAAACGAACTCATGAGGATTGGGTAAACACCCCCCTCGACGACCCCTAGGTTCTCTGGCAAGTGAGTCAAACCCTGGCTTCGGCAACTTTATGACGCGATATGGTAAAAGGGAAAGAACAGTATATATTAAGTTCTTGTCTGTACGATGTTGACGGCATTTATGAGGCTTTCATTTGCTAAAAAATTGGTATCAATTCAGTAACAAATACGTAAGTTACGGCTCAACACAAAATTACAAATCAGTTGTCTCATGCAACAGAATCAGCCAGTGTGCACATGACTGAAGCAGTCACACGGAAAAATGCAATGCTGCACACTGATGGTGCTGTGTCTTGGCACAAGCGAGAACACCAGTGGAGCCAGAAAAATGGTTTTGGCCTCCATTTCTAGTACGTACCCTAGAATAGAAAAAGAGCGACATGCAAAAAAAAGCATGGAAGGTGGAGAAGAGGGTACGGAAGGAAAGGAGTGTTGTGGAAAAGTGTGCAAAATGCAAATGGAAAGGGAAGTGAGACACAAAAAAGGCTTCGTTTCTCAGGCATCAGCCGCCGCACTGCCACACCCAGTGTTCCCAGCAAAAGCACCCGCAGCAGTGAAAGCCCCGCCTCCAACCCCAGCCCCAGCTCCAGCACCAGTCCCAGCCCCAGCAGCAGCAGCAGCATAAGCCCCAGTAGCGTAAGCCCCGGCACCAGATGCAGCACAGAAGACTCCTCCGAAGTCGGAATCAGGGAGTGAAAACATGTCATCACAGCCGGGAAGCGGCATGGGGAAATCCATGTCCTCCATATGGAACCCCATTCCCATGCCCATGCCCATCCCCATGTTCATCCCCATACCCATACCCATGCCCATGTTCATGTCTGCGTCCATCAAAGTCGCCATATCCTGACTGTGTGAATCATCCATGCCATGCGCATGGCCGTCATCCATCACATGGGCTTGAAGCATGTTGCTGCCATGCACGGATTGGTCCAATGGGTCATCATCCGCATCCACCAGTGTGCTCGATGCCACTGCCACGTCATACGGACCGGAACCCACCGCTTCCACTTCCGCTGCTGCCGCTGCTCCTCCTCCTCGCCCTGCTGCCGCTGCTGCCCCCCCTGGTGCTGCTGCTGCTGCAGAGCCAGCAGCAGACATTCCTGCAGCGTCCACCTCTCTTCTTCCCACACCAGCAGTCGCTTCGCACGCTCCCGTGCCCGGAACATCCCGACTTCCTGCAGAGTTTTCTGCTGGGCTGAGAGTAGCCGCCTCTGCGGAACTACCATGTGCCTCCCGGCTCCTTGGCACTGCGGAATTCCCAACCACAGGCACAGGCACCTGCGGCTCCTGTGCACGCTCCCCTGGTGCTCGCTCCCCCTGCACCCCACACTGTGACTGCGGCTGCAGCATCTGCTGCCGTTGTTGACTCAGCTGCTGCATCTGCTCCCGCGTCAACTGTATCCGCTGCGCTTGCAGCTCCTGCAGCACCTCCTGCTTCAGCTCTTGCTTCGTCTCCTGCTGCTGCCGACCCCACCCGGCCCCTGCAACCCCTGCTGCCACACCTCCGCACTCTCCCGTCTGCGCCATCTCACCTGTCAGCCCCGCACCACCTCCTCCTTTCGCACGCGCATTCTGATTATTCTCAAAACAGGCCATTACTCCTGTACGCCCCGCGCTGCCTACCCCACCACCCGGACCCTCTCCGCCCACGCGGGCTGCTGCTGCCTCGCGAAGCGACTCCTCACTGGCACACGTCAGCCCCCCCGCATGCCGCTTTCCTGAAACCTTCTCCCCAGCTACTCCCTGCACAGCGGCTCGAGACGGAGTCCCCACCTCGTACCCGCTACCGCTGCCATTGCACAGCTCACCAGCAGCAGCAGCAGCAGCAGCGCTCTGACTCCTGCCACCAGCCGTTCTCTGACTCCTGCCACCACCCTCCATTGGGAAATCCGCTGCTGGGTCTACGCCAAAGCTCCGCTTCATCCCCACTCTGACCCCTCCCCCTCTGGCCATTCCCCCGGCGGTCATCCCCCCTCTGCTGCCTTTCTGCGACGCCTCGAGAACCATCGGGGAGCCTACCCCCCTCCGGCCAACCCCCCCCGCGTTGCTCACCCCTCCTCCCCCTGCTTCACCAGCTGCTCCCCCTCCCCCTGTCCGCCTGGACTGCGCGATCTCCTGCGCGATCCTCCGGTTCGCCAGCTGGCTCAGGTGAAAATTCAGGTCGCGGTCGGAGAGAGCAGCAGCAGCGGCAGCAGAAGGAGCGCCGGTGTGATTCGTGTTGCCGCGGGTGGGGGCTCTCACCACACGCGGGAACACCGGCGACTGAGCGTCCGTGTGGAGCGAGTAGGATCGGATAAACTGCCTGTTCCGCGACCCTGGCGGAGGTGACGCAGCAGGGGCGGTCGGCGCGGAGTTGACTGGCGCCAAAGCCGAGGCAGAGGGGGCAGGGGAGGGGGCAGTGGCGGCAGAGTTGGTAGGGGGGCCGGGGGTAGCAGCAGGGCGAGCGGGAATAGGGGCAGTCATCGCGGAAGCGGTTAGGGCGGGGGGACTGGGGGGGATCTGGGTGTTGGGAAAGAGGGGGTTGTGGGGGCTGGATCGCATGCCGTGCCCTGCCATGCCGTGTCCTGTCATGCCGTGTCCTGCCATGGCGTCGTGCCACTCCATGGTTTCCCGGCTTGCTGTTGAGTTCGCCCGTTTCAATTGCAACAAGTGCTGCTGCTGCTGCTGCTGCTGCAGCTGCTGCAGCTGGTGCTGCTGCAACAGCCGTTGATGCTGCTCGAGCTGGAGCATCTGCCTCCTCCGATCCACAAGAGACAGGTGATGTTCCTCCTCTAGACTCTGCTTCGCCTCTAGCTGACGCTCCTGCATCATTTGATGTTGCTGCTGCTGTTGCAGCTGTTGCTGCTGCTGCTGCTGCTGCTGCTGCTTCTTCCTCTGCAGCAGCTGCTGCTGCACGAGAGCTTGCATATGTTGCCGCTGCAGCTGCTGCATCTGCTGCTGTTGCTGCTGTTGTTGTTGCTGCTGTTGTTGTTGCTGCTGTTGCTGCTGCTGCTGCTGCGTCTGCTGCTGCTGCTGCTGCTGCTGCTGCTGCTGCTGCTGCTGCTGCTGCTGCTGCTGCTGCTGCTGCTGCTGCTGCTGCTGCTGCTTCTGTTTCGATTCTAACGGGTACAGTGCCATGATCCTCGATATAGTCTGCAGCGAGCTGGCCGATATATCACCTCTCACGCCGCCATGACTCACACCCCCTAGCGCACCTCGCAACGAACCTGGACCCGAGCCTCGCCCCGAACCTGGCCCCGGACCTGACCCCTGCCCTGGCCCCGGACCTGGCCCCGGACCTGACCCCCGACCTGGGCCCGGACCTAGCCTCGGGCCTGAGCCTTGGCTGAGCAGCTGCTCCGGCGACTGCGGCGCCGCCGATTGCGGCCGAAAGGGGAACGCGCCAGGTGCGGCGAGCATGGGAGACGCAGCGAGCATGGGAGATGCTTCCGCGTGCTGGCTGTTCCAAGGAGTAGCTGCTTTCATTCCCTGGAGCATAGCGAGCGCACGGGAGGAGACGGCGTGGGTGGGAATGAGGGCCGGACGGAAGAGGAAACTCTAGAAGAATGTTCCCGTCCGGCCGGACGGAGGAAACTCTACAAAAAAGGTGGAGAAGGAGCGAAAGCAACAAGATGTTCCCGTCGCAATTCTATTTCAAGCAAACATTTTAACTAACAACAACATTTACAGTTGAATCAGTCGCAGCCGCGTAAAGACATGGCTCCTATCTGGGGCTCCATTGTTCCCGTCGCAACACACGCAATTCTAGTTTTGAGACGTCTCAAAAACAACACATGGCACATGCGAGCGTTAACGACCACTTAATCACTTTACCGCGTCGCATTTACCGGTAAACAGCATCCTCTTCTCACCTGCGCGTCGCCACAATTGACGGCCAAACTCGAGCTCGGAGGCACTGCGCGCCTGTCGGCCGGTAAGCTGACGGCGGCTGACGGCGCCGTCTGGTTAACGGCTACTGGGGCTCCCCAACTTCCTACGCTTGCCCTTCCTGGGGTACCAATCCCTGCGGTGGCTATTGGTGGGGTAACAATTTCGGAATTCGGAGATTCTCCATCTCGAGAGCCACTCTGGAGTCCGAATTTCGGAATAACCCCCGGATTAGGGGACATTCTTGAACTCGGGTCCGTTAACGGATTTCCCTGACTCGCTCGTAACCGTTGAATCGCCTCCGCGGGAATGACATCGGTCGAGAACGGTAATAAAGGAGCTCCAGACGCGACGTTATTCGTCGACACACGAGGTAATACTACGGCCGCGCGTGACATCTGAGAAACCGGGCTAGGTTTTTGAGGTTCCGACGGCTGAGGAGAGGTGTCGGGATCCGGTGCGGCGACAAAAGCGTGAGCGGAAGTTAAGGCGCCACCGCCGGCTGTGGAAGTGGAGGAGGCTGGTTGAGCTTTTTGCACTTCCAGGAGCGGCGGCGGTTGAGCCATGTCGCAACCCCATAGCTTCGCCAGGTCCGCTGCAGACGGGCAGCCCGTGAAACATTCAAACACGTGACGGCTGTGGTTCGCGCCGGACGGATTCGCGTTGTGAGACGCGAGGTCACAATCCGGGCAGAGAGAAAGGTTTTCGTCCCGGCATCGCACGGAGGCTGGCTCCGCGTTGCACCCGTCGCAAAGCAGCGTGCGATGGTGGCGAAGGGAGAGATTATTCGCAGAATGAACTACTCGGTCGCATGAGAGGCAGAGCCTAGCGGAATCCGCTTTACAATAGACCGTGGCTCGGCCTTTTTCGCAGAAATCGCAAATGGTCTCCATTGCCGATAAAACGGGACCCCTCGTCGGATAAGATGCTGTTTTATTTTGAATACAAGCTCATGTAATCTTCGGATATCTGCTGTCGTCTGCGTAAAACAAACACACACAATTCCCTCACAATAACGGCTCGACCTAAGGGTATTTATAAACGCAAGAGCTAACGCTGAACTACAGCCGAAAACTATGGATGATCGTGGTCTTCACAGAGAGTGTGAATGTGTTATGTCATTGCACTCGTCTGTAGATCTAACCCTAGGGTTGAAGAGTTCAGTTGTGTTTTGTTTACAGCTCACACACAGCTCTGCAGGGAGACTGAGGTGAGGATGATTTTTTGAGAAGTGAGAGAGCGGAAAGTGGTGGGGGGGAGGGAGCGAAAGAAAAGGGAGAGAGAAGTGAGAGAAGCAAGAGAGGGGTAGAGGGAAGGGAGGGAGGAGGGAGAAGGACCCATCCGTGATCCGCCCATTATCCGGCGGGCAGGACTCCTGGAGAAGCTGAAAAGGGACCACAAACGCGTGGGATCATGGCATCCCCTGACGTGGCATGGACGCAGCACACGCCTCGTGTATGGTCAGACTCGCTCCGATAAGTTCCATCGCCGCTGCTGATAGGGGGTACAAAAAGTTTTTCAACCGTATTGAGCTGTATAAACTGGCGGCGATGCCCGCAAGACTGACCGCGTAGGACAGCCAGCCCGAACGTGTGCGCTGCGCTGGTTCAGTTTCCCCTCCCGAACCAAAATCCGCTGGTTCGGTATGGATGAGGTCATGGAGAAGGGGTTTGTTTGTTTGTCCCTCCCTCACTCCCCTACCTATGTTCCTTCCCGGAATCCTACCGCCAGAAGCCACCACAGGCTACACTCTGTTTCCCCCAAACCACCCAACACAGACCACACAACTAAGGGTGCATTCGTGGCCCGTGTCAGACTTCAGGTCAAAAGCCCTTAGTCTCCAATTTGGCTCATCCGAACTCGGATTTGCCTCAAAAACGAGCCACTTCGGGTCTTCCGAGCCTCCACTTCGGGTCTGACCTGATGTCTGACACAGACTACGAATGCTCCCTAAGCCAAACCATCCTTGGGCTGCCCCCAAGACAAATGGATGGCCTTCCGCCAACGTCATGGAGCACAACAAGGTGGTGTGGTGTGGATCGCATTGGGGAACGAGTGCCAGTACAGTTGGGGTGGGGGGGACGGACAGATTCATCCAGATCCATCATTGCATGGTATCGAAACATTTACCTGCCTGCCCTAATGACGGCCTCCGCATCTACCGCTGATGCGCTGGCACAAGAACGTCCTTCATCCACCCCAAACAGCCATGTGTTGCCCTGAAACCTTGTCGGATTGGCCAAGTCTGGTTAGGCGGGTGGTTCATTCAATTGAGAGATCATGTCAGCGATGGCAAACGCCATGTGCAATCCGTTCAACCGCTCTGTACTTGATGTGCTGCTCACAGCCATGTAATTCAGGAAAAAGGTCGTATCAGAACTTGTTTTGCCAAGTAGGCTCGCGCCACGTAGTCCAGATGTTAACCACAAGCTCGGTTCGTGTTGGGTGTAACCTTCCCCCACATGCACGTGCAATGAATTCGTCTAGAATCTTCCCATGTTTTGAGGAGGTTTCAACTTTTCAGATGGAATGCTCAGGGCGTGTCCAGCGCGTACATTTTGGGAATATTAGTACCTTCACACGTTTCCCGGCTCAAAAAATCTCCGTGTACCAAAAAACGAATTTAAGGTGTGTCGAGTCCGAAGGATTGGGCCTTCCAGCGCGCGGACACAACCCTCTGCACACAAATTTCTACAGTTCGTGGAAAACGAGGTAACTGGTTGCCTCGTCTATCATCGCACAGAAATTCACGCACAAGCGAAAATTCCACGCTTGAACGAAAATTACTGTAGCGGGCAGGACGCAATGCTGTACCCTTGTTCGCGCGCACACTGATTCCAGTAACGTGTGTTAGACGATTCGTCGTACGCGCAGCGGGCGTGCCGTCTTGTGAACGGAAGCTGATCGTGTCCAACCTTTTTGTAAAATGCAGTGTTACAATAGGAAATTTGGTAACTGAATGGGTTTATGAACTGTAAATTTACGCGCTGGACACGCCCTCAGCAATAAAATACATCCTCGATATATTAGCTTTCATGAATCCACCACTGGTGAAGCTGTTGAGTTGATGATTACAAGCAGTTTGGAGAAAAGTCACAAGTCATTTTATATAGCTTTTGGATCCTGAAGGTTCATGTTGTATACGATGCAGTCATATTCGTCCCAATGTATACTTATGCCGTATGCTTACTCTGACTCGTGGGGCGTATCTTGTAAGGACGCATCTGCGTTGTATGCCATTTCTTTTATATAGAAGACACGAACCCTTTTCCAGTAACGAAATAAAATGCCAGAGTTTTCGTGTTCTTCATGAATTTATTTGTAAATGAAAATGAAAATGCTTGCAATCCCCAACTCTATTAATGTCGCAAATACATAATCCGACAAAGTAATCTGCTGCCTTTCACCGTGGTCCTAGTCGAATAAACTATTCTTACCAGAGTTTATCAAAAGGGATTAACAGTTCGCATAGAAAAATGTGCGATAGAAGTTTGTATTTGGATAAGGTAGCATAGCAAGCATGACATTTTGATATAAGCGCTGGCTGGAAGTGTTTTTGCTCTTGTTTCTTACCAGCTCGGGTCCCTCATGGCGAATTTTTATTCGCCAGCGCCAGGAGGCATGCAGGTCCGTCTGTCAGCAACTGAATATGTCACTGCCATGACGTGATCGTCGCGCCGCCAGGGCTCTTATGCTGTTTCTCCGAGGTGGACAAGTCCATAGGGATCGTCGAAAGGCGAGCACGAGGAAGTCGATGATTTCGAGGAAGCAACCTAAGAGAAGCGTAGCGTCGGTGAAGCAGTGGCAGGAGGAAACCATCATAAGAGCAGTACCATCGCACTGTCAGCCATGGTCGGAGCTCAAGGTTTCGTTTCTCGTTTTTTCTCGCCAGCTGGGTTGGTTCGGTCGCTGAAGCCACTTCACGTTTTTCAGCACAGCAGCTTTCTGTCGACATCGTCGCCGTCCGTTCTGAGCGGATCTCCCGGACCCGTAGCAGCCAGCATGATCCGCACCGCACCTATCCAAAATCCGCGTATCCCTTTTGTCGCCGCCGCTGTTCTTGCTTCTCCATCCCTTAAATCGTGCGATTCGTTCTCGCGGAAGAATCAAAGCGTGCGGGTGTCAGGCTGGTTAAGCGCTGCCAGGGGAACGGAAAGAAAGCGACTCGGTGTTTCTTGCTTCTCGGCTGGAAGAGTATTTTCCTCCATGGCGCAAGGGCAGCAAGTTGCGGGTACCGCGGACGATCGAGTCAGCCTTGGCGATGACGCGTCGTCGCGCATCCAGCTCTACTCGTTCGCCACTCCCAATGGCATGAAGGTGCGTGTAACGGTATTTCACGCTCTATGGCTTTCGCCACTCTCCTTGTCTCTCGCTCGTATCGTCCCGCGCCTTGATTTTGCATCCGCCCTTCGTATAATTTCACCGTGATACAGTATCTTGTATCACCTATTGAACTCCCTCTCTCTCTCTCTCTTCCCCTCCCTTCAGGTAAGCATTGCTCTGGAGGAGATGCAGCTACCATACGACGCGCACACAGTGATTGTTTCTGTGTCAGAAGATCTTATCTCAATTATCTATCTCCCTCTCTTTCCGTCGCTTTCCCTCTCGATCTCTCTTCAGGTGAGCATCGCGTTAGAGGAGATGCAGCTGCCATACGACGCGCACACGGTGAACCATGAAAGTGTTTGTCTCTGAAGACTGACTGTATATCACCTATTTCTCCGCCTCTATTTTCCTCTCCCTCTCTCTTCAGGTGAGCATCGCTCTGGTTGAGATGCAGCTACCATACCACGCGCTCGAGATGAGTGTGTGTGTGTCTGAAGATCTCATATCTCATTGATTGCAATGTCTAACTCACTGTCGTTCTCCCTCGCCCTCCTTTCAGGTGAGCATCGCACTGGAGGAGATGCAGCTACCCTATGACGCGCACACGGTGAACATAATGAAGGGCGAGCAGTTCAACCCGGAATTCATTGCAATCAACCCCAACAACAAGATCCCTGCCATCGTCAATCCCAAGGGAGGCCCAGGTGAGGCGATTGCTTTGGAGGATATGCAGTTGCCATACGATGCGCGCACAGTGAGCATGACGGTTCGAGCCTGGGTTCATTGCAATCAACCCCAACAACAAGATCCCTGCCACCGTGGATCCCAAGGGAGGCCCAGGTGAGCATTGCCTTGTAGGAGATGCAGGTGCCATATGATGCGCGAACAGTGAGCATGACGGTTCGAGCCTGGGTTCCTTGCCATCAACCCCAACAACAAGATCCCTGCCATCGTGGATCTCAAGGGAGGGCCAGGTGAGGCAATTGCTTGTAGAGTGTCGACTGCGATATCGCTTGCTGCTCTTTTTGTGCGTATTTTCGTCCATTTCAATCTCAGAATCGGTTGCTAGATGAAGGATTCAGTATCTCTTGCTGCGAGAATCGCTGTTCTCATTTTGCGCTTCCAATCCTCGTTTTCCGTTCTTTTGCTGTACGTACTCACACCAGACGTCACCCCAGTGAACATATATAAGAGCAGGGCCATTCTGCTGATCTACCGAACAAGTTGTGGAGCGTTTCAAACTGGACATTTTGTTTTTCCCCTGTACGACCTCCCACCAGACGGCACCCCGTTGAAGATATTTGAGAGCGGGGCCATCCTGCTGTATCTGGCGGAGAGGTCGGGCAAGTTTCTGCCGCAGGATGCCGTGCAGCGATGGGAGACCATTTCGTGGCTCTTCTTTCAAGTGGGCGGCGTCGGTCCCATGTTCGGCCAGGTGAGGTGCTTGCTTAGCGTGACCCATGTTTGGCCAGGTGAGACTTCGAATGAGGTATGAATCGACTCAAAACATGCCGTGCAGCGATGGGACACCATGTCCTGGCTCTTCTTTAAAGTCGCAGGCGTCGGTCCCATGCTCGGTCAGGTGAAATGTCTGATGTGTTTCCTGTTTCGGTTCTATGATGACCGCACCTTCCTCCACCTCTCCATACTCCTCCATCTCTCCATACTCCGCAAACCTCTCCAAACGAAACCAGGCTAACACAAAATCGGGGTTCAAACACGTGTGAGACCACCCGTACCCCCTCCATTGTACTTTGACCCATGCACAACTTATTACGACTTATCACCCGAACCTCCCTCCCCCCGCCCCCGTTGTCCCTGTCCTTCCCCTCTCCCTCCAGTTCGGCATGTTTTATAAGTTTGCACGCGAGCAATGCGAATCCTGCAGCTGCAGTGTACCTCTGCCCTTAAATACGCCCCTTCCCACATTTCTTTTCCCCCCTTCCTCTACACAGTTCGGCATGTTCTACAAGTTCGCGGGCGACAAGTGCGACCATCCGTACCCGCTGCAGCGCTACACGGAGGAGACGCGGCGGCTGCTGGGGGTGCTGGAGAAGCGGCTGGAGGGGAGGGAGTTCCTGGTGGATGCGGGGTACACCATTGCTGACATGGCCACCTTCCCCTGGGTCAACTCGCTGCTGGTGCGTGCGTGGGGGTGGTAAGGTGGGTAGTTAGGGTGGTTCGGTAGGTGGCCTACCCGGTGGCTACACCATCACTGACATGGCCACCTTCCCCTGGGTCAACTCGCTACAGGTGCGTGCGTGGGTGGGGGGGTGGGGTGGTTGGGGTGGGTGGTTTTTATGGCTAGTACACTGGTGGGTGGGTGGTTTTCATAGCTAGGTCATGGCTGGTGCGTGGGTGGGTGGTTTATGGAGCTATTTTGCTGGGGGCGGGTGGGTGGGTTAGTGAATTGGCGAGGGTGTTTGTTTTGTTACCTCGGTAGATGGCGATTTCCCTCTTATTCTCCCGTGGATCAACTTGTTAGAAATGGATTGCTGCGGTGTGCTCTGCTAGGTATTTATCTACTGCAGCTCTAGACTTACATCGTCTCCTGACTATGGCGAGTGTCATGCTAAGTTAAACGTATTCATCTCTGGCATTGTACTGCTTGTGCTGTTCTTCAGGTGTTTTACAAAGCAGATGACCAGTTGCATCTGTCGTCATATCCTCGGGTTTTGGAGTGGAAGGATCGTTGCATGGCGCGTCCTCTCACAGCCAAGGGCATGCACATTTGCTCGCCCTAATTTGCTTGGCCTTGTACATAGTAACTAACAGAATTAGAGGTGTTGGGCTGGCTAGCTACTAGAGTAAATGTGGTGTTAGCAACTGCATGTACACTCTGATTGTATATACACGAATATGTGTCCCTCCGCGTATGCTGCATGCTGCTGCTGCCCTTGACAGCTGCTTTCAGCGAGGATGCAGCAGCATGCATCTGTTGACTCTAGGGGGATGGTGTTGAGGTTTCTGTTACTGTTTAGACCACTGTAAAGCTTACAAATCCAAATTCATATGCTGAGTAGACACTAGAGGTGATAGCTAGCCCTGCAAATTTGATGGGTGTCAATTAAAGCCCGCGTCCCAAATTGCGGGCCGCGAGGGTCAAGTTTTTAAAACTTGACGAAGTTTAGAGTGTCCAAGCTTTTGAAAGTCACGCACTTGCAATTTGGGACTTTCGAAGACAGATTCACTCACCAGGGGGAAAACCGAGGGTTGGCTGGGTCTCGCGAAAAAAACGAACCTAGACGAAATGGGAAACTCTCGCCAAAGCCCACACCAGAAAAACTCCCTCTGGTCAACTTTTAAAAGCATGAACAATTTGGGCCGCCGGCTTTAAGCAAATGATGACCCCTGCACAGCAGGCAGAAGCACTACTTGATTCCAGCACGAACATTAAGAGCGCGATTACTGCTCTGCTTTATCACACATGACAGCATGCAGCAGTCAACACTCCTTAGCTATATATCCATGCTTTTAGAATTCTTATTGGTATCATTCTGAATTGAGAAAGATTGTAGAGGCAATGTACACTTCTTAGCTACCGTATGGCCCCGGATATAAGCGCATATGCGCTTATAATAAGTTCATTTTTTTTAGGGGTGGCGCTTGTAATTGAGTAACGGCCATAAGCGCCGGCGCTTATATAATGACAAATACAAAATTATACATTAAAGGTACCAAACTGTACCTTTCATTGTTGCCAATTCAAACGAGTCGAAATAAAAAAGCGTCAAAAAGCAGAATCGCGCGCAAGCGATTCTGCTACCTGTACACGGGCAAATTCGCGTCACTTTGCAGGCATGCCAGCACATCCTGACTGGGCGCGCAGCCAGTCAGGTCTTCGCGAGTCAAACGAAGCGAAATTGAGTTTTGACTCGCTGCAAAGCTGAAATTCGTTACCGATTTAAACTGAGAATTTAAATTATAAATGGGGGGCGCTTATAATAAGTAATTGTTTTTCAGGGGGGGCGCTTATAATCGAGTTTCGGCCATAAGCGCCATGCTCCAGATAGAAGCGCCGGCGCCTGTAATAGGCCGGCGCCTATATCCGGGGCCATACGGTATATATGTACATGCTTTTAAAACTCTTAATTGTACCGTATCAGTCTGAATTGAGAAATATTGAAGGGGCGATGGCTGAAACCAAGGTACTTGCAGAGATGATGCGATGTGAAGAGAGAGGCAACGTTGCTCCGCAATGAAGTGGCGTCGAGCGAGAGAACGGGCACTGCTATGACACACAGCCAGTAGTGCTGCCGATTTTTGAGTCGACTAACAAATCCATGAAGTGGCGTCGAGCAAGAGAACGGGCACTGCTATGATACACAGCCAGTAGTGCTGAGTCGGCTAGGATTTAAAAAAAGAGGAACGCCAACAGTGTCGGTCGGGTCAAGAAGGGTGGTTGAACTTGAAAGCAGGGCACTTGCACAAAGGAGGCGAAGTGGAGTCAGAGCCAGCAATGCTCCGCTAGGAAGTGGCATGGGACAACGCTGTACAGGCGCTAACAGTGTTGGGTCAATAGGATTGAAGAAAGGGTGGTTAAAACCAGGGCACGTGCAGAAAGGATGCAATGAGGAGGGAAAGCCAGCGCTGCTCTGGTGGCGACAAGTGATAGCCGAAGGAGAGAGTCCTGCCGCCCGCCAGGGTGAGCTGGCAGAACGTGGTTGGTCGAGAGCGGTAGTAGTATTGGCCCTCGCCCTCGTAATTGTGATTGTATTGGTCCTGCAAGGGAGGAGTTGGACGGAATAGGAGGAATATGGGGGGCGGAGCTTCAAGCAACAATGGACGTAAGAGAGGTGGTGGCGGTAGTGGTATTGGCCGTACTCCCACCCACGAGTCATGGTAAGATCCTGCAGGTAGGGAGCTGGTGGTGGTGGTGGTGGTGGTGGTGGTGGCGGCGGCGGCGGCGGCGGCGGCGGCGGCGGCGGCGGTGGTGGTGGTGGTGTTGGTGGTGCTGTGCTGGTGCATGTTTTCACAGAATGAGTGTTTTCCACTCCATGGCAGCAGCGACAGGTGCGGTGCGTGGTGCTCGTAAGAGAGCCACAGAGAGTCACAGAGAGTCACAGAGAGCCATGGAAAGTACAAGATAAGGGCCTGCATGGTGTAGTTTGTTTCCTTAAGTGCATAAACAGCAAAGAGAACATACCACGGTGAAGTTGACTCCAGCGCCGCTGATGAGAGCAGTGCGAGCTGTGGACACGCCACAGCAAGGCAGAGTATGTTTTTTGAGAATTCTAGAAAAACAGACTTAGCCTCAAAAGCAAAGAGATCATACCACGGTGTTGACTCCAGCGCCACTGATGCGAGCAGTGCGAGCCGTGGACGCAAGGCAGAGTCTTCCCCTTGTGTGCGAGCTTTGAGAATTCTCAACAATCGCACACAAAGAGATCATTCCCGACTTTAGAGGCGCCTCATAAACAGCAAAGAGAACATACCACGGTGAAGTTGACTCCAGAGCCAGTGATGCGAGCAGTGCTTGCCGTGGACACACCACAGCAAGGGAGAGTCATCCCGTTCACCGCTCGACGAATGGTCAGCTGACACGTGGCGGAGTCAACAGTCACTGTTTCGACCTTCATGTGCGGCAGTAGCAAGTCGGCGAGCAGCCTGGTGGGGACAAGGAGGGGAGGAGGAGAAGGGGAAGGGGGAGGGGGGCGTGTGTTGATCAGCTGAGAGTGTGACAGCCACTGTTTTCGTCCATGATGCGCCGCAGTAGCAAGTGGGCCAGCTTTTGAGTCGACTCAAAAGCTGACCTTTGAGTCGACTTAAAAGGCAGTAGCAAGTGGGCCAGCTTTTGAGTTGACTCAAAAGCTGACCTTTGAGTCGACTTAAAAGGCAGTAGCAAGTGGGCCAGCAGGCCATAGGGGAGGAAGGGGAAGGGGAGGGGGAAGGGGAATTGGAAGGGGAAGGGGAGGGGGAAGGGGAAGTGGGGGAGGTAGGGGAAGGTGGCAGTAGTTACAAGGTCGCGAGTCGTGACTCGTGACATTCACACCCAAGACACATTATAACAACTTGGGCCATGATGTGCCAATGATAGCACGCGGTGAGTCGACTCAAATGTCACCTCGAGTCATGACTCGTGACATCCACACCAGGGACAGATTACACTATGTTAACTTGGCTCGTGATGTGTCAAAGATAACACGCAAACGCACAAGAGGGGTAGAAAGCCTGGAAGGAGACACGGCTTGAAATGAATAGAACCCACCACCAGATGCCACGTGATAAAAAGCGTAGTTTCGAGTCGTCTCAAAGGCACGCGGACGCAGTGAGGTGTGTTTTGAGGCGCCTCAAAACACACCTAAGTGTAGTTTCGAGACGTCTCAAAACACACCTAAGAGTAGTTTCGAGGCGTCTCAAAGGCACGCGGACGCACAAGAAGGCTGGGAAGCCTGGAAGGAGACAAGGCCTGAAACGAATAGAACCCACTCACCAGATAAGCGGAACCCAGATGGGGATGAAGTAGTAAAGGGCGCTGCGGGGAACTCGATAGGATACTACTTTGGCTGACAAGTAGGCGAGACCCGCCATCAAGAACTGTAATGGCAGGTATGGTGTGTGGTGGGAAGGGGAGATTGGGAGGGAGAGGGGTGGGGAAGAGAGGGATTGAGGCAACATGTTTGGTGGTGCTGCTGTGGATGAAAAAAGGCGACAGCTACCATACAGAACTGCGGTGGCAGGGACGGTGTGTGGTGGGGAGATTGGATGGGGAAATTGGGAGGAAGAGAATCGCATTGGACTGATTGATTTGAAGGCAGGAAGGGAGGGATTAGGCCAGCATGCTTGCTGGTGCTGTGGATGCCCAAAAGGGGCCAAAGGTTATCCAGAATTGAGCGGTCATGGATGGTGAGGTGTGGGGGGAGGAGGGGGGATGGAAAACAGAGTGAGGTGGATGAAGAGGGAGAGAGAGAAGGAGAAAGTGGAGGCTTGAAATGAAAGGAAGCAAATGGGGTGTAAGAAATAAGGTACGAGCGTAGCGTACAAAGCAACAAGATGGTGGTTCTAGGGCGGAGAAGTTGCCTGATATGACACGAGCTCACCAGGACGAAAAGGGCTCCTAGGGAGAAGCACGGAGGAGCCTTGTTTTGAGTCGACTCAAAAGGAGTTGCGTGACACGAGTCGACTCAAAAGGAGTTGCGTGACACGAGCTCACCAGGACGACGACGATTCCAAAAAGGGTTGCAAGGGAGAAGCGCTGGGGAGGGATGGTGAAGCGGAGGAGCGTGGGCGAGCGGGAGACGAGTACTTCCGTGCCCATGGGCTGGACAATGCCAGGATACACGACTGGCGTTCCCTCTGCCACCCCTCCTGCTGCCCCCCCTGCTAACCCCCCTGTTGCTGCCGCCTTCCCTGCTGCTGCTGCTGCTGCTGCTGCTGCTTCAGTAGGATCAGCGGCAGAAATGTCAACGGCTACATCAGCAGGAGGAGCAGGACGGCGATTCGGCGGAGTAAGACGGTGAGGATTGAAAGAGGAGTAGGAGGCGGTGGGGGTGGCGAGCAGAGGAGCGTGATGCGAGCCTTGGCCTTGGCCGCTCATTGGCTGCTCCTTGTTGAAACCCTAGCCAATGAAAAGAGCAGGAGAGGTCGGAGAACAGTAGGAAGAAGAATTGGGAGCGGAGCGAAGCAAAGGGAACAAGGTTTGGAAGGCAATCAAGCCAACCTGCATGTCGTGTCTTCAAACAGAAGCAAAGCAAGATTCAGCCATTTGGATAGACGATCTAGAAGACCAGAGCAAGCAAAGGTACCAACTCGCTCCAATTTTGTACACCTCGTACGAATCAAATCTGGAAGGACCAACTTGAGTGCAACGCTCACCAACATGATGTTGATGCTCCCACGGCTGAAGCGCCGGTCGGCCTTCCGCAATTCGAGTGCTCGAAAGTCCGGGATTCACACGGGGCGTCCCCGCAAATTCCAGAATCAGTAATCAAGAAACGCTAACGAAGGTGGTTACTGTGGTTCGCTCGCCGGCAACTTTCTGAGGTACGAAGCGGGATGAACGACAGGTAGGATAGACGAGGAGGAAGAGGGGTTTTACTAGAGAAGATAAGGGCGAATTCCGAATTCCAACTCTGGAAGGACCAACTTGAGTCAACACAGATATCGGCGGGATCCCGCCGAAATTTCCCCCGTGCGTCATTTGGCCCGCGTCGTTTTCGCTCTGATGCCGTCGCCTAGCGCAGCACGCGAGCGGCGGGAGCGGACCCCCCAGCCCGCCCGATGACCCCCGCCGGCGCCAGCTTCGGAGTGACGCAAGGTGGTCCCCCCTCGAGCTGGCGATGACGCGAGCTGCTCCCCCCTGTCCCATACCTCGCCTAATCGCAATCGTAAAAACAGGGGGCGCTTCGGGAATCGTAGGGAAGCGTCAGTTGGGATTTCGATTCATACCTGCGCGACACCTGCTGTTAGCGAAATGCCTACCGTTTTCGTTTGCACTTACTGTGTTGAATTCGCCCGTGTCGCCCGATCACTGGTTTCAGCAAGAATCTGAAATTGAAAACAACCATGTTGTACAAGTTTGATGGGTGTTTGTCAATTCAGCAATTGATGACCCCTGCACAGCAACTAGAAATACTGGTACTATTTTGAATCAGGAACAAACCTTTAGAGTGAACGTTATTGCTGCACTGCTTTAGCACACATGGCAGCAAGCACCTGTCAACACTTCTTAGGTATGTATATACATGCCTTTAAACCTCTTGCAGGAATGACGCAATGTGGAGAGGAGAGAGAGCCAACGTTTCTCCGCAATGAAGCGGCAAAAAGTGAGAGAAGAGGACGAGCAGCACTCTTATGATACACGTAACACGAGCAGTAGTGCTGAGTCGGCTAGGATAAATAAAGAAGGAACGCCGACCGACAATGTCGGGTCAGTAAGATCGTAGGAAGGATGGTTGAATTCAGGGCACTTGCAGGAAGGAGGCAATGTGGAGGGAAAGCCAGCGCTGCTCCGAACGACACTGTACAGGCGCTAACAGTGTTGAGTCAGTAGGATTGCAGAAAGGGTAGCTAAAACCAGGGCACGTGCAGGACGGATGCGATGTGGAGGGAGAGCCAGCGCTGCTCTGGTAGCGACAAGTGATAGCCGAAGGAGAGAGTCCTGCCGCCCGCCATGGTGAGCTGGCAGAACGTGGTAGTTTCATCGTCCTGCAAGGCGAGGAGTTGGACAGAATAGAGAGGTGGTGGCGGTAGTGGAATAGAGCCACGGAGAGCCTCAGAGAGAAAGCACAAGATAAGGGCCTGCATGGTGTCGCTTGTTTCCTTGAGTGCATAAACTGCAAAGAGATCATACCTGCACCGTGTAGTTGACTCCAGCGCCACTGATGCGAGCAGTGCGAGCCGTGGACACGCCACAGAGAGGCAGAGTCTGTTCTGAAGGCACATACGGTACGATAAGCAAGGGAGAATGTACCCGCACCGTGCAGTTGACCCCAGAGCCCTGGACGCGAGCAGTGCGAGCCGTGGACACGCCACAGAGAGGAATGCAGAATCTGTTTCCTCAAGGCACAAGAGTACGAGAACAAAAACGAGAACAAAAAAATACCTTCGTGGTGTAATTGACTCCAGAGCCACTGATGCGATCAGTGAGAGCCGTGGACACGCAAGGCAGAGTCAGACCCATCACCGATCGACGAATGGTCAGCTGACACGTGGCGGAGTCAACAGTCACTGTTTCGCCCGTGATGCGCGGCAGAAGCAAGTCGGCGAGCACCCTGGTGGGGACAAGGAGGGGAGGAGGAGAAGGGGAAGGCGGAAGGGACGTATGAGTCGACTCAAAAGTCACCTGTTGTGATGCGTGGCAGTAGCAATAGGGCGAGCACCCTGGTGGGGACAAGGAGGGGAGGAGGAGAAGGGGAAGGCGGAAGGGACGTATGAGTCGACTCAAAAGTCACCTGTTGTGATGCGTGGCAGTAGCAATAGGGCGAGCACCCTGGTGGGGACAAGGAGGGGAGGAGGAGAAGGGGAAGGCGGAAGGGACGTATGAGTCGACTCAAAAGTCACCTGTTGTGATGCGTGGCAGTAGCAATAGGGCGAGCACCCTGGTGGGGATAAGGAGGGGAGGAGGAGAAGGGGAAGGCGGAAGGGACGTATGAGTCGACTCAAAAGTCACCTGTTGTGATGCGTGCGTGGCAGTAGCAAGAGGGCGAGCACCCTGGTGGGACAAGGAGGGGAGGAGGAGGTGATGGGGAAGGGGGAGGGTGACGTGTGATGATCAGCTGAGAGTATGCCAGACACTGTCTCGCCTCGCCCATGATGTGCCGCAGTAGCACGTGGGCGAGCAGGCTGGCGGGGAGGAAGGGGAAGAGACACGGCTTGAAATGAATAGAACAGAACCCACTCACCGGATGCCACGTGATAAAAAGTGTAGTTTCGAGGCGTCTCAAAGGCACGCGAACGCACAAGAAGGCTGGAAAGCCTGGAAGGAGACAAGGCCTGAAATGAATAGAACCCACCCATATAGACCCAACCCAGAAGGCAATGGTGTAGTAAAGGGCGAGGGGGGGACTCCGACTCCATAGTTCACTACTGCTGTGGTTGACAAGTAGGCGACAACCGCCATCAAGGACTGTAATGGCAGGGATGGTGTGTGGTGGGAAGGGGAGATTGGGAGAGTGAGGGGCGGGAAAGAGAGGGATTGAGGCAACTCGTTTGAGGCTGCTGCTGCGCTGCGGATGTCCAACAAACGCCGTCCAGAATTGAGGTTTAGGGTTTAGGCAGGGATGGTGTGTGGGGAGGGTGTGTGGGGAGGGTGTGTGGGGAGGGTGTGTGGGGAGGGTGTGTGGGGAGGGATAGCGGGCTTGCTGGCTGCTGTGGATGTCCAAAAGGCAACAAAGGCCAGACCAGAGCAGGCAACAAAGGCTATCCAGACCAGAGCAGTCATGGATGGTGTGTGGTGGGGGAGGAGGGAGGATGACTAAGGGAGGTGGATGAAGAGGGAGAGAAAGAGAAAGCGGAGGCTTGAAATGATTGGGAGCAAATGGGTTGTAATTGTAAGCAATAAGGTAAGAGCGTACAAAGCAACAGGATGGTGGTTCAGGGTTTGGGGTTCTAGGGCGGAGGAGTTTGCCTGACTGACACGAGCTCACCAGGGCGAAGACGATTCAAACAATGGATAAAAGGGAGACTTTTGAGTCGACTCAAAGGTCAAGAAGTTGCCTGACACGAGCTCACCAGGACGAAGACGATTCAAACAATGGCTGTAAAGGTGAGTTGCTGGGGAGGGATGGTGATTTGGAGGAGCGTGGGCGAGCGGGAGACGAGTACTTCCGTGCCCACGGGCTGAACAAGGCCAGGATACATGAGTGGCGTTCCCACTGCCACCCCTCCTGCTGCTCCCCCTGCTGCCCGCCCTGTTGCTGCCACCCCCCTTGCTGCCCCCCCTGTTGCTGCCGCTCCCCCTGCTGCTGCTTCAGTAGGATCAGCGGCAGCATCTGCAATGCCAACGGCTACAGCAGCAGGAGAAGCAGGAGGGGGATTCGGCGGAGTGGGATGATGAGGATTGAAAGAGGAGTAGGAGGCGGTGGGGGTGGCGAGCAGAGGAGCGCGATCCGAGCTTTGGCCTTGGCCGCTCGTTGGATGCTCCTGGTTGAAACCCTAGCCAATGAAGAGAGCAGGAGAGGGTTAGAGGACAGTAGGGAGTCTTTTTTATAGGCGCCTCAAAAACATTGGATGCTCTTTATTGAAACCCTAGAAAATGAAGAGCGGGAGAGGTCGGAGAGCAGTAGGGAGAAGACTTGGAGCGAAGCAAAGCGAAGGGAACAAGGTTTGGAAGGCAATCAAGCAAACGGAAGCAAGACTCAGCGAATTGGATAGACGATCGAGAAGACCAGAGCAAGAAAAGCTACCAACTCGCTCCAATTCTGTATACCGCATAGAAAATCAACTCTGGGAGGACCAACCAACTTGAGTGCGACACTGACCATGTTTGATGCTCCCACGGCTGAAGTCGCTCGGCCTTCCGCAATTCGACTGTTCGAAATCCCGCAATTTTCAGAATCAGTAATCGAGTCGAGCGACGCTAACGAAGGTGGTTACTGTGGTTCCCTCGCCAGCAACGTTCTGATCTGAGGTAGGAAGCGAGGATAGGCGAGGACGAGGGGTTTTACTAGAGGTATGAATCGACGCAAGCTCCAACCTACGCCTCCAAGCCTACCCCTCCAACCCCTCTGTTTTTGCGATTAGGCGAGAATTGTGATGTGACAGGGAAGAGCACGCTATTCGGGCCGAGGACGTCCCATCTTCCCCGCTAAGAAAGGGAGATTTTTTAGGCGCCTAAAAAATCGTCTGTTTTTGCGATTAGGGTTGTGACAGGGAAGAGCACTCTATTCGGGCCGAGGAGTCGAGAACGTCCCATTCCCCGCGAAGAAAGGGCGGCGAGGCGAGGAGGCCCGATGCGCTCGCCGTCGTAACTCGGGCCACGCGAGGGAAACCAGCCTGGCACCGGGGGTGCCACCGCCACCCCGCCGGACCCTCCTGGCGAGAAAGCCGAGGCCCGGCCGGCTCTTGGGCCCTTATAATGAAACACGCCATTCGTGTTTGCGGCAGGATGCCTCGAAATCCCGCCGATATTTTCCCTACCCCTCGAGGGAGTCACTCCGAAGGCGGCGGGAGTCATTTCGGGCGGGCTGGGGGGTTGGCTCCCGCCCCTGCGCTAGGCGACGGCAAAAAAACGAACGGGCGAAATGACACAGGGGCGAAAAGGAGTTTTCGGCGTGATTCCGCCGATATCTTCCCCTCACTACCGTCTTGGTCGACTTTCAGGTTTGAGCTGGCTTGGTTCGGTACATATATTATAAAAAGATGTTATAGAACGGTGAATGTTCAGTAAAATGTTGACGCGTGGGGCTTGCCTTGTTCAACCAGCCCTAGTGAGCTGCTAGGCCCTTCGACGCTAAGGGCGTGTCACCTCCGACTTCAAAATCGTCGCACGTTCGAACGAACGACGGGTGTCCAGAGTCGTCGCTAGCGTGCTCGTTGACCTGACGAGCTTAACGAAGCAAGTTCAGAACTCTAACGAATCTGGATACCCGTCGCCCGCTGGAGGTAGTTTTGTAATACTGCGAACCGCTGCTGTCTGGATAGACGGACTAGCCCGTTCAGGTGGTAACATCGGGTGGTAACCAGCTGTTTAAACGCCCAAATTCCGGATTCTGGGGGTTGAGTTTGGTACAGTACGAAACAATCAGTCTGGTTTAGTACGGTGCCTGCTCGTACAGGCCCGTTCAAACGTCCGAAGTGACACGTCCTAAAAGCCCTCTTATGAATTTGACATTGAGCGAGCAGCAATAGTTGTTTCGTCACCGTGCCTGACGCGCCAAACGCGCTAAACGCGCCAAACGCGCCTGACGTGCCCACGCACCTTACGCTCCTTACGCTCCTTAAGAGATTTGCGTATCGTAGACCAATCTCTCAGCAGCTCCATCGTTGAACTTTTCGGGACCGAGAAGGCCGGCACGCATCGCGTTGACCAGGCGTGAAGCCGCTGATGCAGGCAGCGCGGCGAGAGCAATGCGACGTGATGCGCGGGTTTTAGTTGCAGTCGACCAATCACAGGGCGCCGAGACGGTGCGGGAACGGGGAGATAGCGAATGTGGGAGCGAAAGAAGGGGAGCAAGGAGAGCAGGGGAGTGAGAGCAGATATGGGTGTGATGTTGTGCTGCCTTTCGCCGTTTCTAACCGTCCAGTGCTGCCGTTGACTGCTGCCGTCTTGTGCTGCCGTCTTGTGCTGCCGTCCCGCCGTCCACTGCTGCCGTCCAACAACCCCCCCATTCCTCTCTCCAACACGCGTTGCCTTTCCAAATCCCACAGCCGTTTCTCTTCGCGGTGAGCCTGCTGTCGCGCAACGAGTTGCTGTTGCCAATTCTCCAAAACACCAACTCCCATCCCTCTCTCTCTCACGCGTTGCCTCTCCGAGTCTCACAGGCGTTTCACTTCGCGCTGAGCCTGCTGTCGCGCAACGCCACCATCTATGCGTTACATGTCCGGGACCCCAATACAGGTGAGCCTGGTGACTATCAGTCGACTTAAGGTTTTCTCGCCAGGCCGCGCTCTATATGCTTTGCGTGTCCGGGTTTCGACTTTCTATATGCTTTTGCTCTCAAAAGTCGCTCTATATGCTTTGCGTGTCCGGTTCCCGGGACCCCAACAACGGTGATTTCTTTCCTTCCTAACCCGTCTCGAAACGCCATGTATGCGTTGCACGTTAGGAACATCAATACCATTGTGCGTCAGGAAATGCCATTTGTGCGTCAGGAAATGCCATTTGTGCGTCAGGAAATGCCATTTGTGCGTCAGGAAATGCCATTTGTGCGTCAGGAAATGCCATTTGTGCGTCAGGAAATGCCATTTGTGCGTCAGGAAATGCCATTTGTGCGTCAGGAACCTCTCTGTATTTTGTCTGTTTTCTCGCCATGCCATTGCCTGTCTGTCCGTCACATGTGACGGATCGTTTCTTAGTTGTCTCAGAAGCTTTCTCGCCACGCCGCCATCTATGGGTTACGTCTATGCGTTACGTTATATCCCAGGGACACCAACACTGGTGAGCCTGGCAGTGGTGGTGGCGGTGTGGCATGGGTGCATGCATGGCACGACAAGCGCAGCAGCAGGGGGCAACATGTGGACGTACGAGGCAGAGCAGCGCAATATCAACGCCACCTCACCTCACCACACCCCAGCCAGCAACTACACTACTCCCCGTTCCTCTCCCGCTGCCATTAATCCCCCTTCCGTCTCCCCCCGTGCCAGAGTCGGCGTGGATGAGGCAGAGCAGCGTAACGACAACTCCCACTACCAGCCTCCCTCCCCTCCCCCCTGCCCTTGCCTCTGCTCTTTCTCCCCTCCCCTCTCCCCGTGCCTCTGCTCTTTCTCCCCTCCCCTCTCCCCCCGTGCCTCTGCTCTTTCTCCCCTCCCCTCTCCCCCCGTGCCAGAGTCGACGTGGACGTACGGGGCAGAGCAGCGCAACGACAATCCTCGTGCACAATCCTCGAGGGTGGGCAGAGTCCTCGTGCCCACCACTCCGCACCTCTTCCTCTCCCCCCCCAACCCCCTGCCCTCCCAATCCCCACCCCCCCCCCCCCCCCCCCCTCCCCCTTTTGCCCTTCCCCTCCCCGTTTATCACCAGAGGCGGCATGGATGTACGAGGCAGAGCAGCGCAACAGCGCTGGGCAGTCAGAGTAGGGAAGAAAGAATGTGTGATGCGACCCCCCCCCCTCTCCCCGCCACCTCTTCTCCCCCCCCTCCCTTCTTGCCAGAGGCGGCATGGATGTACGATGCAGAGCAGCGCAACAGCGCAGGGCAGGCGTTGGTGTGGGAATACGAGGTGGAGGCGCGCGCAGAGGACCTGCTAGCGCGATTCCGGGGGATGGCGCATGCAGCGGGGGTGAGTTGAGTGCTAGAGTGTCGGAAGGCACAAGGAAAGTGGATTCATGGGGAAGGGGGAGGGGTTGTGAGGATGGGGAAAGCGGTTACTGACACTCAAACAGGCGTTGGTGTGGGGGTATGAGGTGGAGGCGCGGGCAGAGGATCTGGTAGCGCGATTCCGGAGGATGGCGCATGCAGCGGGGAGGGGATGAGTGGGAGCTAGAGGGGATGCATGAGGTGGTTGCTGACGTACCTTTGAGGCGTGGGAGTATAGTATGACTTTTGAATCGACTCAAAAGTCATCTGGAGCTAGAGGGGATGCATGAGGTGGTTGCTGACGTACCTTCGAGGCGTGGGAGTATAGTATGAGGTGGAGGCAAGGGGAGAGGCGCTGTCGGGACGGTGCTGAGGGATGGCGCATGCGATAGACTACTACAAGATTTTTTTTTGACTAAAACTAAGCTGCTGCCACGCAAAGTCATGCCTCCTAAGTGGGGATCCCTCAAAGGGAGAGGCGCTGTTGGGACGGTGCTGGGGGATGGCGCATGCGGCGCGGGTGAGTGGGGGGAAGGGGGGGAGAATGGGGAACGGAGAGCAGAAGGGGAGCGAAAGGGGAAGAGCGGGGTGGTGAAGGTGGTCCCCCCCCCCCCCCGCTCTTCCCCTTTCGCACGGAGGGAACGTGCGACCGCTGAAGGTGGTGGAGGTGGTCTTTGAGAGTTCTCAAAAACTGACACGTTCCCTCTCATGGCAGAGTGCCCGTGCCGTGCGACCTCTGAAGGTGGTGGAGCGCCGTGCCGTGCCGTGCGACCTCCTACTCCCTGGTAGTACTCTCATAGTGACTCACACTGGGCAGGCGTTGGTGTGGGGGTATGAGGTGGAGGCACGGGCAGAGGCGCTGCTGGGTCGATTCCGCGGGATGGTGCATGCTGCTGGGGTGAGTGGGGGGAAGGGGGGAAAAGGGGATTATAGTGCAGGAATGGGGAGAGGTGACTGTGGGAGGTGGTTGGTGCTGACGTGCGTGGTTGCTGTGAGTGTGGCGGGAGATGCGCTGCGCGCATGGAGCTGCGTGGTGAGGTGAGACATGTCAATGCTCAGCCCACCACCCGCTGGCTCTTGTCTACAAGGTGACATGCCATGCAGTGTCGCGCAGGGCAGGAGATGCGCGCATGGAGCTGCGTGGTGAGACGGCTTAAAGCCTATCTCCCACCCACCCCCTCTTGTCCACCAGATAACATGCCATGCGGTATCGCGCAAGGCCAATGATGCACGTGCAGATCTGTGTGAGGAGACACGTAAAAATTTTAACCTCCATCCACCCCACCCACCCCACCCACCCCACCCACCCCACCCACCCCATCCACCCCACCCACCCCACCCACCCCATCCATCCCCGTGTCGCGCAAGGCCAACGATGCACGTGCAGAGCTGTGTGAGGCGGTGGAGCGACAAGCCATAGAGCTGCTGGTTTGAGGAGATCACTTAAAGCCCAATCACCACACAACCCACCCCGGTCACCAGATAACATGCCATGCAGTGTCGCGCAAGGCCAACGATGCACGCACGGAGCTGTGTGAGGCGGTGGAGAGGCAGGCCATAGAGCTGCTTGTAGTGGGCTCTCGAGGGCTCGGCGCCGTGTCCAGGTGAGTGTGTGGCTATTTGGTGCCGTTTTCCTTTCCTCTAGCAACAGTTACGAAGCAGCAGGCCGTTGAGCAGGTTGGGTGTTGTGCCCAGGTGAGACCGTATGGATCTGTGTCGGCAAGTTTCTTCCCTCTCACTTTCACCCTCCATCAGGCAGAGGGTTTTGTGAATGACAGGTGGTTGGGCTTCTGGCCTTAGGGTCCCAAGGTTTGGGTTGGGTGTCGTACTCAGGTAGGACTGCTTGCCTGATATCGCCGCCTAGCAAGTATTCGTACATGGCACACGGAAGTTTGTTCACACATGTCCTCTCTTCGGTGCTCTTCTCTCGAGTGATTTGATTTTAATTATATGTTTTTGGTCCCCTGTTTACCGTAATTCGCTTGCTCTCGCAGAGCCATGCTTGGGAGTGTGAGCGACTATTTGATCCACAACGCGGCTTGCCCAGTCTTGGTTGTACCCAATCCATTTCAGCAGTGAACATGGCACATTTGGTTTGTGTATAATAATAATAGTTTATTATATGCGCATCTCTTCATAATTGATATGCAAGCGTTTTCCCCATTACTTGCGGATGAGGTGTCTATCTTAACAGCCTTTGCTCACTTGCATTGATAACAGTTGAAGTACACAAGAGCACCGATTTGATCTTTTTTTAGCCAAATGTCCCCACGCTTATCTCGAGGACTCCTACTGTGCTGTTTTCCCGCCAAAACAGGGTACTTTTTCTGCAAGCCTGCAACCAGCATCCATTCCAGAACCACACATCGCAATGGCGCTACGAGGCTGCTAGTATGGGCCGTCCGTCGAATAGCCTGTCCGTCTCGGTTGCGATACGAACTTTGACGATGGTCGCAACGTGATCCGTGTTTTCTATCCGAATCATGCCGGCATTACATTATTCTGTAACTCACATTCCTCCAGCGAACGCGAGAATGAATCAGGCGTCACATTGACCTCCCTTAGTTCACGCCGTCATTTGCTGCCGGATTCCACTTAATTTCGCGGGCGAGAGGCCGCAATGGCCGGCCGTCGCCGCGCGTCCTTCCCAGCGATGTCGCTGGTCAAGTACCTGCTACCCGCGTACTACCTCCGTCGGCCGAAGCGCCTCTTCGTCCTCTCGTTTCTCCTCATCGCCGGGATGTTTCTCCTCCTGCGCCGACAGCACAAAGCGCGCCAAGTGAAGGTTCGGTCGAAACGGTTCGGACGGCAGTTAGGCTCGGTTACAAAGTAGAGTCTGCGTGGCTTAACTGAAGTGCGGCATTGCGTCACACTTGGCTTTTGAATGAAGCCAGGCTCGGCCGAACCTACTTTTTGGGTTGGAGCCAGGTTTGGGCTGGCCAGACCCGTCTTGTCAATCGTCATAGTCGATGCGATCAAATTGCATTCCTGACATCCGCGAATCGCGATCCATTTTCCGCTCCATACCGGACCCCAAATGGCTCTGTTTCTCTCTCTTCCCTCGCAGTCTCCCTTCTCCCTCTCCAGTCTTCCTGTCGCCCCTTCCCTCCACGCTTCTCCCGTTCCCTTCCTTCCTCCCCAAAAACGAAACACTCCCGAACAACTTCCACACAACCCCCCGAAGTCCTTTATACAACCCCCCAAGCTCCCTTGAACACCCTTCCAATTCCAAACACCCCACTCACTGATGGCAGGCACTCACAGCGAGGGTGCAGGCGTTGCACAGCCAGAAGCAGAGCATGGTGGCCGAGGTGAGCCTCGCTATAGAGTGAGACTCGCTATAAGGTGAGAGTCGCTATAAGGCGACACTCGCTATAAGGTGAGACTTCCTAAATGGTGAGACTCGCTATAAGGTGATACTTGCTATAATGTGAGACTCGCTATAAGATGAGACTTGCTATAAGGTGACACTCGGTACGAGGGTAGGTAGATCCGCTATAAGGTGAGACTGTTGAAGGTGGGACTCAGTAAAAGACACCTCAGGTTGTCCTTTGCTATATGGGCACCAGGAGCAGCTAGTTTATCCAACTTTGATAGTGCAATAACCATACTCGTTTTTTAGTGTTCCATGACCAGTCTCCAGTCCTGTTGTTGGATCATTCCCATACTTCATGCACGTTATTGCTTGCACCCTCTCTAGTGCCTGGAAATGTCAAAGGACACACGTGCAACCACACGGGGAGCCAATCTCTTGCCCCATCCTCAAATCTTTCCCCTATGGCAGCTGGAAAAGACGCGTAGGGGAGACAATGGAGCGTCCAAGGAGGGCGAGGAGGCAGGGGAGGAGGAGCAGTCGTTCCGAGTCGTACCTGTTAACCTGAGAGGGCGAGGGCGCGCGGGAGTGGGCGAACGAGTGAGAGGTGTAGGGAAAAGAGGAGCGAGAGGAGGAGGGAGAGGAGGAGGGAGAGGCGGAGAGGTGGAAGGGCGGGGGGGAGAGGGGAGGAGGAGACGGAGGGGTCGATCCAGACGGAAGAGAAGGAGGAGGAGGAGAGGGGGCGCTGGGGGAGGTAGATTGAGAGGAGTGGGGATGGGTGGGGACGGGGTTGGGTCTGGTGATGTGGCTGGTGATGTGCCTGGGGAAGGGACTGGGCAGGATGGGGGGGGGAGGGGGAGGGTGGTGAGAGAGGAGGAGGAAGAGGGGGTGGAGGAGAAGCGGGAGGCTATAAGAGAGGCGATGGCGCATGCATGGAAGGGGTACAGGCAGTATGCATGGGGCATGGATGAACTTCAGGTGCGAGCAGGTCTGCAGTGGTTGAGATGGGTGATGATGGTGCATCATGCATGCATGCATGCTTGGAAGGGGTATCGACAGTATGCATGGGGCATGGATGAATTGCAGGTGCGAGTAGGCGAGTAGGTGCGAGTAGGCGAGTAGGTGCGAGTAGGTGTTGGGTTGTAGTCATGGAGTGGGTGATGATGCTGCATGCATGTGCTGACACGGAGGGAGGTGTACTGGCAGCAGTATGCATGGGGTCTGGACGATAATCAGGAGCGAGGCGGCAGGCCTTTGGACATAGTCACCAGTGACATAGGAGCGCGGTGCTTAAATTATGGGGTGAAGTTGCATGCATGGAAGGAAGGGGTACCGGCAGTGTGCATGCATGGGGTCCTGAGACGTCTCAAAACTCAAAACTCAAAACTCAAAACTCAAAACTCAAAACTCAAAACTCAAAACTCAAAACTCAAAACTCAAAACTCAAAACTCAAAACTCAAAACAACTCAAAACTCAAAACTCAAAACTCAAAACTCAAAACTCAAAACTCAAAACAACTCAAAACTCAAAACTCAAAACTCAAAACTCAAAACTCAAAACTCAAAACTCAAAACTCAAAACTCAAAACTCAAAACAACTCAAAACTCAAAACTCAAAACTCAAAACTCAAAACTCAAAACTCAAAACAACTCAAAACTCAAAACTCAAAACTCAAAACTCAAAACTCAAAACTCAAAACTCAAAACTCAAAACTCAAAACTCAAAACTCAAAACTCAAAACAACTCAAAACTCAAAACTCAAAACTCAAAACTCAAAACTCAAAACTCAAAACTCAAAACTCAAAACTCAAAACTCAAAACTCAAAACTCAAAACTCAAAACTCAAAACTCAAAACTCAAAACTCAAAACAACTCAAAACTCAAAACTCAAAACTCAAAACTCAAAACTCAAAACTCAAAACTCAAAACTCAAAACTCAAAACAACTCAAAACTCAAAACTCAAAACTCAAAACTCAAAACTCAAAACTCAAAACAACTCAAAACTCAAAACTCAAAACTCAAAACTCAAAACTCAAAACTCAAAACTCAAAACTCAAAACTCAAAACTCAAAACTCAAAACAACTCAAAACTCAAAACTCAAAACTCAAAACTCAAAACTCAAAACTCAAAACAACTCAAAACTCAAAACTCAAAACTCAAAACTCAAAACTCAAAACTCAAAACTCAAAACTCAAAACTCAAAACTCAAAACTCAAAACTCAAACTCAAAACTCAAAACTCAAAACTCAAAACTCAAAACTCAAAACTCAAAACTCAAAACTCAAAACTCAAAACTCAAAACTCAAAACTCAAAACTCAAAACTCAAAACTCAAAACTCAAAACTCAAAACAACTCAAAACTCAAAACTCAAAACTCAAAACTCAAAACTCAAAACTCAAAACTCAAAACTCAAAACTCAAAACTCAAAACTCAAAACAACTCAAAACTCAAAACTCAAAACTCAAAACTCAAAACTCAAAACTCAAAACAACTCAAAACTCAAAACTCAAAACTCAAAACTCAAAACTCAAAACAACTCAAAACTCAAAACTCAAAACTCAAAACTCAAAACTCAAAACTCAAAACTCAAAACAACTCAAAACTCAAAACTCAAAACTCAAAACTCAAAACTCAAAACTCAAAACTTTTGAGACGTCTAAAATTTGGACGGGGCACCGGCAGTGTGTATGTATGCATGGGGTCTGGGCGAACTGCAGGTGCGAGCAGGTCTGCATGCATGGAAAGGGTATCGGCAATATTCATGGGGCATGAATGTACTGCAGACTCGAGCAGGTGTTGGGTTGGGACGTAGTCAGCAGCGAGGTGCAGTGGTTGAGATAGGTGATGATGGTGCGTGCATGCATGGAAGGTACAGGCAGTGTGTGTGTACGCATGGGATCTGGATGAACTGCAGGTGCGTATGTTGTATCGTGATGGATGGCATGATGGTGTGATGGATGGATGGCGTGATGGCATGTAGGCATGAAATCTGGTGTGCACACCAACGCATGTGCATATTGCCTCGTAAATACCACAACTCCCACCCACCCCCACACGCCCCCGCTCCCACCCAACAATCCTACCCTGCTCACACCCCCAGCCGCGCACCAAGACAGGGGCGAACCACTTTGGGGGGCTGGGGTTGACCGTCGTTGACTCGCTTGACTCGCTCTACCTCATGGGGCTCACCAAGGAGTTCAATGAGGCCAAGAGGTAAGCAGTGCGGTGCGGTGTGGTGTGGCGTGGCGTGGGAGTATGGTGGGGTAGCGAGTTTAACATCGGATTATGACAGAGTTCAATGAGGCCAAGAGGAAACGGGTCCGGTGTAGTGTGGTGGGGTGTGGCTTGGCACGGTGTGGCATGGTGTGGCTTGTGCTCCGTTCATGCGCCGGCTCCAAGACATTGTATGCCATGGCATGGTAAGGCATGGGCGTAGTATGGCAAGGTACGCATGGTATGGCAAGGTACGGCATGATATGGCATGGTATGGCATGGTAAGGCATGGTACGGCATGGTACGGCATGGTACGGCATGATATGGCATGGGTACGGCATGGTACGGCATGATATGGCATGGTACGGCATGGTACGGCATGATATGGCATGGTACGGCATGGTACGGCATGGTATGGCATGGTATGGCATGGTATGGCATGGTATGGCATGGTACGGCATGGTACGGCATGGTATGGCATGGTATGGCATGGTATGGCATGGTACGGCATGGTACGGCATGGTATGGCATGGTATGGCATGGTATGGCACCCTGGTGCGTGCACCCTCTCACCACTCTCAATGCTTCTCCACCCACTGTCCCACTTCCCCTGTCTACTCCTTCACTTGCCATCATCACCCTCCCGCTCACTGCCTCTCTCCCCAACCCCCACCCTTGCATCTCTCTCCGATCCTCTCTGCCCCTCGCTCTGTGAGCTGGGTGCAGGAGAGCCTCTCTGCCCCTCGCTCTGTGAGCTGGGTGCAGGAGAGAATCTTGGTCGAGCATGACTAAGACGCCACGTGATAAAAGTGAAATTTTGAGGCGTCTCAGAAACTGTGAGCTGGGTGAAGGAGGAGAATATATCTTCTTCGAGCGTGGCTAGGATGACGCCAACCAACCCCTTTGCACAGAGGGCGCACCCCCCCTCTTAATCCGCTCCTATTCCACTCTTGTTCTTGTCTTTCCTCCCTCTCCCCCTCGCTCTGGCAGCTGGGTGCAAGAGAAGCTCTCCTTGGAACATGACTACGATGCCAACGCCTTGTATCAACCACACACTCTCTCCTCTCCTCACGCCTCCCTCTCTCTCCTGCCCATGTGAGCTGGGTGCAAGAGAAGCTCTTCTTTGAGCATGACTACGATGCCAACGTGTTTGGTTGGACAGAGGGTGCTCCCCTCCCCCTCTCCTAATCTACTCCTACTCCACTACTGTTATTCTCTTTCCTTCCAACCCCCCTTTGCGCTCTGTCAGCTGGGTGCAAGAGAAGCTGTTCTTTGAGCATGACTACGATGCCAACGTCTTCGAAACCACCATTCGGTATGCACCACACCACACCGCACCGCACCACACCGCACCGCACGCGACGTCACCATTCACTCGTAGCATTTTTCGATTCACAAGGCTCCTCTGTTCACGGATCAAGTGATAAGGTTTTGAATATGATCTTATGCGGATTCAATTGTTCTCATGTGACTAAATAATTGTAATCTTTGAGCTGGTAACATATCATTGCTGAACGATCATGTCTTTCCCGCACTTCCTCTCCGTCGTCCTTCCCCCTTCCCCCCACTCCTAGCATACTGGGCGGCGGGGGCTACTGAGTGCGTACGACCTGTCAGGCGATCAATCCAATCCAATGCTGCTCGCCAGCAAGGGATCTCGCACACCAGCTGCTGCCAGCCCTCTGTGTGCATCCAAATGTTCTCGTTCTGTACTTCCACCCTCCCTCCTCTCTCGCCCCCCCTCCATTCCAGCATACTGGGCGGGCTACTGAGTGCGTACGACCTGTCAGGCGACCCAATGCTACTCGCCAAAGCGAAGGAGCTCGCAGACAAGCTGCTGCCGGCCTTCAGAGCATCTACCCCTCCGCTTCCTTTCCTTGGTTCCGCTCTCCCCTCTCTTCCATTCCAGCATACTGGGCGGGCTACTGAGTGCGTACGACCTCTCCGACGACCCAATGCTGCTCGCCAAAGCGTGCTCCTAAGCCCAGTGACACTCCTCCACATGCCCAACCCACCGTCCCCCCTCCACCGCTCCCTCCCTCTCCCAGCTTACTGGGCGGGCTACTGAGTGCGTACGACTTGTCAGGCGACCCATTGCTGCTGGCCAAGGCGAGGGAGTTGGCGGACAAGCTGCTGCCGGCCTTCGCCACCCCCACGGGCATCCCCCTCGCCTTTGTGAACCTCGCCAGTGGCATTGCACGCTCCCATGGGTGGACTGGGGTGAGTTCCGTAGAGCATGTGCTTAGTTGGAGTATACGCTCGAATCTTTTTGCGTTTTGAGTTTATACGCGCTAAAAAACGACCGCTGCGTTTTTGGTGTGGAAACGCAGAAAAACGCTCGGGCAGCCCGGGAAAAAAAAATCAGAAGTTGGGTTTGAACTAGCGACATGGCGAACTGAAAATTAGGGCATCGCACATTCGGGATCTCAACTTCGAAATTGAAGTTTGAAGCAGATCCACAACCACCCTTCTGTATACCATAGCGCAACCCACTCCACCCCATTCAATCCCAATTCCTTCCACTCAATGTCGAGTGGAGGAGTTGGATTCAACCAGACTCATCTCTCCTAGCAGAAATGCGGCTCTAATTCTCCATTCGATGTTCATCGTTCGGATTTTTTTACGAGGTTTTTACGTACCTCGTTCGTATCGACGAGTATGACTAGACTGCGGGCACCAAATTCGTCCTTTGCACCTCGCCCACCCCCCTCTTAACCTAACAAACTGCCCGGCGAAAATTTTTATGTGCCCAGGCCTGCGTTTTCACTGCGTACCGTACCCCTCCCAAGAAGCGTTTGGCGTTTATACGCTAGCGGATAAACGCTAGCGTATGAAACGCGAAACGCGTATACTCCAACTAAGAGCATGTGCATAGCAGGCACGAGTTGTGTGCTAGAGGCAGGGGGTAGCCACCCTTCGCCACCCCCGCGGGCATCCCACTCGCCTTTGTCAACCTCGCTAGTGGCACTGCACGCTCGCACGGGTGGACTGGGGTGAGTCTCTTTGGTGCTCTCGTCTCGCTGTAAAGGCATCCTCATAGGGGGCTTGACCCTGGACCTGGGGGTCAAGCTGCTGCCGGCCAGCCTTCGCCACCCCCACGGGCATGCCACTCGCCTTTGTGAACCTCGCCAGTGGCACGGCACGCTCGCACGGATGGACTGGGGTGAGTGGGTGCTCGCTCTAGGGTATAGAAGCACGGGCTCGGGTGTGGCAGAGATGTTTCATTCATGTGTATGGGAGGAGTGTCCTTTGTGGCACTCCTGTGGGCTCTCATCCCCCCCCTGCGCTCTGCCCACTGCCCTCTCATTTTCGTTCGTGCCTGTTGTCTGTTCGTCTCATCACATCGCACCTCCCCAGCACTCCGCAATGCTAGATTTTGAGTCGACTCAAAAGCACTCTCATCCCCCCCCTGCGCTCTGCCCACTCACTGCCCACTCATTTTCATTCGTGCCTCCGTGTTGTCTGTTCGTCTCATCACATCGCCCACGTGCCTCCGTGTTGTCTGCTCGTCTCATCACATCGCCCATGTGCCTCCGTGTTGTCTGTTCGTCTCATCACATCGCCCACGTGCCTCCGTGTTGTCTGCTCGTCTCATCACATCGCCCATGTGCCTCCGTGTTGTCTGTTCGTCTCATCACATCGCCCACGTGCCTCCGTGTTGTCTGCTCGTCTCATCACATCGCCCACGTGCCTCCGTGTTGTCTGCTCGTCTCATCACATCGCCCATGTGCCTCCGTGTTGTCTGTTCGTCTCATCACATCGCCCACGTGCCTCCGTGTTGTCTGCTCGTCTCATCACATCGCCCACGTGCCTCCGTGTTGTCTGTTCGTCTCATCACATCGCCCACGTGCCTCCGTGTTGTCTGCTCGTCTCATCACATCGCCCATGTGCCTCCGTGTTGTCTGCTCGTCTCATCACATCGCCCACGTGCCTCCGTGTTGTCTGCTCGTCTCATCACATCGCCCATGTGCCTCCGTGTTGTCTGTTCGTCTCATCACATCGCCCATGTGCCTCCGTGTTGTCTGCTCGTCTCATCACATCGCCCATGTGCCTCCGTGTTGTCTGCTCGTCTCATCACATCGCCCACGTGCCTCCGTGTTGTCTGCTCGTCTCATCACATCGCCCATGTGCCTCCGTGTTGTCTGCTCGTCTCATCACATCGCCCACGTGCCTCCGTGTTGTCTGTTCGTCTCATCACATCGCCCACGTGCCTCCGTGTTGTCTGCTCGTCTCATCACATCGCCCACGTGCCTCCGTGTTGTCTGTTCGTCTCATCACATCGCCCACGTGCCTCCGTGTTGTCTGCTCGTCTCATCACATCGCCCATGTGCCTCCGTGTTGTCTGTTCGTCTCATCACATCGCCCACGTGCCTCCGTGTTGTCTGCTCGTCTCATCACATCGCCCATGTGCCTCCGTGTTGTCTGTTCGTCTCATCACATCGCCCACGTGCCTCCGTGTTGTCTGCTCGTCTCATCACATCGCCCATGTGCCTCCGTGTTGTCTGCTCGTCTCATCACATCGCCCACGTGCCTCCGTGTTGTCTGCTCGTCTCATCACATCGCCCACGTGCCTCCGTGTTGTCTGCTCGTCTCATCACATCGCCCATGTGCCCCCGTGTTGTCTGTTCGTCTCATCACATCGCCCACGTGCCTCCGTGTTGTCTGTTCGTCTCATCACATCGCCCACGTGCCTCCGTGTTGTCTGCTCGTCTCATCACATCGCCCACGTGCCTCCGTGTTGTCTGCTCGTCTCATCACATCGCCCACGTGCCTCCGTGTTGTCTGCTCGTCTCATCACATCGCCCACGTGCCTCCGTGTTGTCTGCTCGTCTCATCACATCGCCCACGTGCCTCCGTGTTGTCTGCTCGTCTCATCACATCGCCCACGTGCCTCCGTGTTGTCTGCTCGTCTCATCACATCGCCCACGTGCCTCCGTGTTGTCTGCTCGTCTCATCACATCGCCCATGTGCCTCCGTGTTGTCTCTTCGTCTCATCACATCGCCCATGTGCCTCCGTGTTGTCTCTTCGTCTCATCACATCGCCCATTCCTCCCCAGCGCTCCGCAATGCTAGCAAGCAGATCTGGGCTCCCCGCAGCTTGAAATGGTGGATCTCTCTTTGACCACCCTTTCTCCCTTTTGCGTCCCCTCCCTTTACCTCCCTTCCCCATTGCCTCTCCTCCCCGTTACCTCCCTTCCCCCTTGCCTCTCTTCCCCGTTACCTCCCTTCCCCCTTGCCTCTCTTCCCCGTTACCTCCCTTCCCCCTTGCCTCTCTTCCCCGTTACCTCCCTTCCCCCTTGCCTCTCTTCCCCGTTACCTCCCTTCCCCCTTGCCTCTCTTCCCCGTTACCTCCCTTCCCCCTTGCCTCTCTTCCCCGTTACCTCCCTTCCCCCTTGCCTCTCTTCCCCGTTACCTCCCTTCCCCCTTGCCTCTCTTCCCCGTTACCTCCCTTCCCCCTTGCCTCTCTTCCCCGTTACCTCCCTTCCCCCTTGCCTCTCTTCCCCGTTACCTCCCTTCCCCCTTGCCTCTCTTCCCCGTTACCTCCCTTCCCCCTTGCCTCTCTTCCCCGTTACCTCCCTTCCCCCTTGCCTCTCTTCCCCGTTACCTCCCTTCCCCCTTGCCTCTCTTCCCCGTTACCTCCCTTCCCCCTTGCCTCTCTTCCCCGTTACCTCCCTTCCCCCTTGCCTCTCTTCCCCGTTACCTCCCTTCCCCCTTGCCTCTCTTCCCCGTTACCTCCCTTCCCCCTTGCCTCTCTTCCCCGTTACCTCCCTTCCCCCTTGCCTCTCTTCCCCGTTACCTCCCTTCCCCCTTGCCTCTCTTCCCCGTTACCTCCCTTCCCCCTTGCCTCTCTTCCCCGTTACCTCCCTTCCCCCTTGCCTCTCTTCCCCGTTACCTCCCTTCCCCCTTGCCTCTCTTCCCCGTTACCTCCCTTCCCCCTTGCCTCTCTTCCCCGTTACCTCCCTTCCCCCTTGCCTCTCTTCCCCGTTACCTCCCTTCCCCCTTGCCTCTCTTCCCCGTTACCTCCCTTCCCCCTTGCCTCTCTTCCCCGTTACCTCCCTTCCCCCTTGCCTCTCTTCCCCGTTACCTCCCTTCCCCCTTGCCTCTCTTCCCCGTTACCTCCCTTCCCCCTTGCCTCTCTTCCCCGTTACCTCCCTTCCCCCTTGCCTCTCTTCCCCGTTACCTCCCTTCCCCCTTGCCTCTCTTCCCCGTTACCTCCCTTCCCCCTTGCCTCCCTTCTCCCTTGCTTCCCTTCTACCTTGCCTTCTTTCCCCCTTGCCTCCCCTCCATGCCCCCAGCGCTCCGCAATGCTGGCGGATCTGGGCTCAACGCAGCTAGAGATGGTGGCACTCTCCCAGCGCACGCCCCCCTGTTTGTGCCCACTCACATTTAATTGTGTCCCTGTGTTTGTTTGTTCCCCCTCATCGCATCCCTTTCCATGCGCCCATTCATTGCCAGCGTTCCGCAATGCTGGCGGATCTGGGCTCAACGCAGCTGGAGATGGTGGCACTCTCCCAGCGCACCGGCGATCCCAAATACGCCAATGCTGTATGCACCTCCCCTTCCTCCCTCTTCTTCCACGCACCCCTCCCTTCATGCACCTCCCCTCCCCTCCCCCCCCCCTCCTTCCACGCATCTCACCTCCCCTTCCCTCCTTCCACTCACCTCCCCTCCCCTTCGCTCCTTTCACCCTGCGCGTACCTTCCCGTCCTTCCGAGTCGACTCAAAAGAGTTGACTTTTGAGTCGACTCAAAAGAGTTGACTTTTGAGTCGACTCAAAAGTCTTACCTTCGCTCCTTTCACCCTGCGCGTACCTTCCCGTCCTTCCTCACCCTGCGCGTACCTTCCCGCCCTTCCTCTCTCACACCTGCGGGGACTGTTGTTGAGTTGACCAAAATGAATAAAATCTGGAAACAAATGGACAAATGTATCGACCTCTTGGCTTGGCACCTTTGGCTTTCTGAACCTCTTCTCTTCTCCCTTCTCTACCCCTGTTGACCTGCCTGTTCAGTCGGAGCACGTCATCCGTCAGATCGCCAAGGTCTTTCCATCCGACGGTCTGCTGCCAGTCCTCGTCAGCACTGTCACCGGCAAGCCCACCTCTCGCCACATCACGTTTGGGTCCATGGGGGATAGGTGAGATGGGATGTGGTGAAGTGCGGTGAAGGGCGGTTGTACATGCTGTTCAGATATCTCAATGTCACTGGCAAGCCCACCTCTCGGCAAATCACACGTTGGGATCCAGGTGAGATGTGCGGTGAGGTGCGGTGAAGTGTGCGGTGAGCTGTGTGCAATGTGGTTAGATGCGGTGAGCCCACCTCTCACCACACCTCACTGGTGCCAAGGTCAGCATTCCTGCTTTGTCTTATCTGCTCTGTGTTAATGAGCGAAGATTCCAAGAGTGAGGGCCCAACACCACCGTCCACAACCGTTCTCCATCCATGCGTATCCCTGTTTCAACAGTACCACTCTAGAACGTGCCACACTAGTTAAATATCCTCTGTTTCTTCTCTCTCCCATTCTGTTTCCATCCCCCCCCTTCCCCTCTTCGTTTCCCCACATCAGCTTCTACGAGTATTTACTCAAGGTGTGGGTGCAAGGCGGAGGCACTCCCTGTGTTCAACTTTTGAGGCAGCTTAGAAGTCAGTCTGCCAACCCCCCCCTCCCTCCCTTTTTCCCCACATCAGCTTCTTCGAGTATTTACTCAAGGTGTGGGTGCAAGGCGGAGGCACTCCCTATGTTCAACGGTACAGGTCAGTGAGGGCACATTCAATTTGACAAGTCTTTCTAGAGGTGTGTGTTTGAAGATTGTCAAAAACCTGGTGGGTTTTTTCTGAGGATTCGCAAGCGTGGCATGCTTGATTCGATCCGGCCGTGCTTTATTACCTTGAGAACAACTCTGGACATGTGGTTGATGCTAGAGTGCACGTCACTCCCTGGCCTGATTACGCCATCCTTTTCTCCTTCCCCACACCCCTAGAGTTGAAAATAAAGAGCTCTTTTCCTTTTGAGAGTTCTCAAAAGTGACTCCCTGGCCTGATTACGCCATCCTTTTCTCCTTCCCCACACTCTTAAGATATAATTTGAAGACCTCTTTTCCTTCCTTTCTGCAAGAGCTCACCACCCTCCACCAGTCCCGATCACTTCCCACCTCTCCCCACCACTCTCCACCGACAGAGACATGTGGGAGAAGGCCATGCATGGCATGATGGCAAAGCTGGTTCAACACGCCCCGGCTCCTAACACCACCACTACCACCACTGCCACCACTGCCACCACTGCCACCAACACCAGTAGCACCAGCAGAACTCACAACACAGCAGGCAACAGTGGTGACGGCAGCAGCAGCACGGGTAGCATCAGCAGGGACAGCAGCAGCGGCGGTAGCAGCGGCGGCAGCAGCAGCAGCAGAGTGGCGTATGTGGCGGAGGTGCATGCGGGGAAGGTGGAGCACGAGATGGAGCATGTGACGTGCTTTGTGGCAGGCATGCTGGTGCTGGGCGCTCAGACCGTGGCGGCCAATGAACACACAGACGCGTATATGAAGCTGGCTAAAGAGGTGAGAGGGAGAGATGCAAGTGGGGGGAGAGAGGGTGCTTCGTGGCAGGCAGGCATGCTGGTGCTGGTGCTGTCAGTGGTAAACAGGTGGGCTGCGGAGGTCTTATGTCCATCAACTTAAAGTGTTTCTAGGACGACGAAGCAAACTCCATGAAATGAAAAGGTGAGAAAGCCTGGAAAGCTTGTGAGCTAGAGCGAGCATATTAGAGAGCCAGATTGAACAGAACCTTCATCAGTACAAACAAGCCTGAAGGGGGACTGGGGAAGGAGGGGAGAGGGGGCGTGGGTGGTATTCTGGTGCCGGGCGTTCAGACTGTAGCGGAGGGGACTGCAGTGCGCACACCAAGGTCTGATATGAGGCAGCCCCACCAGCTGGGGCACACGTGTCACCTCTTCTACAGCACATCACCCACGGGGCTGAGTGGGAAGGTCTGCACTCCCCCCACTCTCTCCCCCTTCCCTCCAACTTTTCTCCCCAACTCCCTGCCCCCTTCTCCTTCCCCACCAGCTGGGGCGCACGTGTCACCTCTTCTACAGCACATCACCCACGGGGCTGAGTGGGAAGGTCTGCACTCCCCCCACTCTCTCCCCCTTCCCTCCAACTTTTCTCCCCAACTCCCTGCCCCCTTCTCCTTCCCCACCAGCTGGGGCGCACGTGTCACCTCTTCTACCGCACGTCGCCCACGGGGCTCAGTGGCAGGAAAAGAAACCCACACCTCAACTTTTCCTCCACGTTCCCACCTCCCCACCTCTTCTCCCCACCAGCTGGGCCACGCATGTCATCTCTTCTGCAGCACATCACATCACCCACAGGGCGCAGCCGGGAGGACTGCACCCCCGCTCTCTCGCTCCCCATATCCTTCCAACTTCCTCCCCAACTCTCCCGCTCTCTCTCTCCCACTCTCTCTCCCCCATTCGCTCTCCCCCCCACCAGTTAGGGAACACGTGTCACCTCTTCTACAGCACGTCACCCACGGGGCTCAGTGGGGAGGACTATGCGTTCGGAGAGAAGGTGCGTGCGTGTGCCTGCTGCCATGTGACTGCGTAGGGTGATGTGGAGTGTGACAGTAGCTTATGGTGTTAGACTGTAGATTGTGACAGTAGCTGTATAGTGTGACAGTAGCTGTAGATTGTGACAGTAGCTGTAGATTGTGACAGTAGCTGGTCTGATTCCCCTTTTCCTTCGTCCTTTACCCATCCACGTGTGCTTCATCCATCCATCCATCCATGCATCGTACACACCACCATGGGGCATGAGCATGCACATGCAGGGCTCCAGGCATGCACATGCAGGGCTCCAGGCATGCACATGCAGGGGCGCATGCACATGTAGGGGCGCATGCACATGTAGGGGCGCATGCACATGCAGGGGCGCATGCACATGTAGGGGCGCATGCACATGCAGGGGCGCATGCACATGCAGGGGCGCATGCACATGCAGGGGCGCATGCACATGCAGGGGCGCATGCACATGTAGGGGCGCATGCACATGTAGGGGCGCATGCACATGTAGGGGCGCATGCACATGTAGGGGCGCATGCACATGTAGGGGCGCATGCTACATGTAGGGGCGCATGCACATGTAGGGGCGCATGCACATGTAGGGGCGCATGCACATGTAGGGGCGCATGCACATGTAGGGGCGCATGCACATGTAGGGGCGCATGCACATGTAGGGGCGCATGCACATGTAGGGGCGCATGCACATGTAGGGGCGCATGCACATGTAGGGGCGCATGCACATGTAGGGGCGCATGCACATGTAGGGGCGCATGCACATGTAGGGGCGCATGCACATGTAGGGGCGCATGCACATGTAGGGGCGCATGCACATGTAGGGGCGCATGCACATGTAGGGGCGCGTGCACATGTAGGGGCGCGTGCACATGTAGGGGCGCATGCACATGTAGGGGCGCGTGCACATGTAGGGGCGCATGCACATGTAGGGGCGCATGCACATGTAGGGGCGCATGCACATGTAGGGGCGCGTGCACATGTAGGGGCGCATGCACATGTAGGGGCGCATGCACATGTAGGGGCGCGTGCACATGTAGGGGCGCGTGCACATGTAGGGGCGCATGCACATGTAGGGGCGCATGCACATGTAGGGGCGCATGCACATGTAGGGGCGCATGCACATGTAGGGGCGCATGCACATGTAGGGGCGCATGCACATGTAGGGGCGCATGCACATGTAGGGGCGCATGCACATGTAGGGGCGCATGCACATGTAGGGGCGCATGCACATGTAGGGGCGCATGCACATGTAGGGGCGCATGCACATGTAGGGGCGCGTGCACATGTAGGGGCGCATGCACATGTAGGGGCGCATGCACATGTAGGGGCGCGTGCACATGTAGGGGCGCATGCACATGTAGGGGCGCGTGCACATGTAGGGGCGCGTGCACATGTAGGGGCGCGTGCACATGTAGGGGCGCGTGCACATGTAGGGGCGCATGCACATGTAGGGGCGCATGCACATGTAGGGGCGCGTGCACATGTAGGGGCGCATGCACATGTAGGGGCGCATGCACATGTAGGGGCGCATGCACATGTAGGGGCGCATGCACATGTAGGGGCGCATGCACATGTAGGGGCGCATGCACATGTAGGGGCGCATGCACATGTAGGGGCGCATGCACATGTAGGGGCGCATGCACATGTAGGGGCGCATGCACATGTAGGGGCGCATGCACATGTAGGGGCGCATGCACATGTAGGGGCGCATGCACATGTAGGGGCGCATGCACATGTAGGGGCGCGTGCACATGTAGGGGCGCGTGCACATGTAGGGGCGCATGCACATGTAGGGGCGCATGCACATGTAGTTGCGCATGCACATGTAGGGGCGCATGCACATGTAGGGGCGCATGCACATGTAGGGGCGCATGCACATGTAGGGGCGCATGCACATGTAGGGGCGCATGCACATGTAGGGGCGCATGCACATGTAGGGGCGCATGCACATGTAGGGGCGCATGCACATGCAGGGGCGCATGCACATGCAGGGGCGCATGCACATGCAGGGGCGCATGCACATGCAGGGGCGCATGCACATGCAGGGGCGCATGCACATGCAGGGGCGCATGCACATGCAGGGGCGCATGCACATGGAGGGGCGCATGCACATGCAGGGGCGCATGCACATGCAGGGGCGCATGCACATGCAGGGGCGCATGCACATGCAGGGGCGCATGCACATGCAGGGGCGCATGCACATGTAGGGGCGCATGCACATGTAGGGGCGCATGCACATGTAGGGGCGCATGCACATGTAGGGGCGCATGCACATGGAGGGGCGCATGCACATGGAGGGGCACATGCACATGGAGGGGCGCATGCACATGGAGGGGCGCATGCACATGGAGGGGCGCATGCACATGGAGGGGCGCATGCACATGGAGGGGCGCATGCACATGGAGGGGCGCATGCACATGGAGGGGCGCATGCACATGGAGGGGCGCATGCACATGGAGGGGCGCATGCACATGGAGGGGCGCATGCACATGGAGGGGCGCATGCACATGGAGGGGCGCATGCACATGGAGGGGCGCATGCACATGGAGGGGCGCATGCACATGGAGGGGCGCATGCACATGGAGGGGCGCATGCACATGGAGGGGCGCATGCACATGGAGGGGCGCATGCACATGGAGGGGCGCATGCACATGGAGGGGCGCATGCACATGGAGGGGCGCATGCACATGGAGGGGCGCATGCACATGGAGGGGCGCATGCACATGGAGGGGCGCATGCACATGGAGGGGCGCATGCACATGGAGGGGCGCATGCACATGGAGGGGCGCATGCACATGGAGGGGCGCATGCACATGGAGGGGCGCATGCACATGGAGGGGCGCATGCACATGGAGGGGCGCATGCACATGGAGGGGCGCATGCACATGGAGGGGCGCATGCACATGGAGGGGCGCATGCACATGGAGGGGCGCATGCACATGGAGGGGCGCATGCACATGGAGGGGCGCATGCACATGGAGGGGCGCATGCACATGGAGGGGCGCATGCACATGGAGGGGCGCATGCACATGGAGGGGCGCATGCACATGGAGGGGCGCATGCACATGGAGGGGCGCATGCACATGGAGGGGCGCATGCACATGGAGGGGCGCATGCACATGGAGGGGCGCATGCACATGGAGGGGCGCATGCACATGGAGGGGCGCATGCACATGGAGGGGCGCATGCACATGGAGGGGCGCATGCACATGGAGGGGCGCATGCACATGGAGGGGCGCATGCACATGGAGGGGCGCATGCACATGGAGGGGCGCATGCACATGGAGGGGCGCATGCACATGGAGGGGCGCATGCACATGGAGGGGCGCATGCACATGTAGGGGCGCATGCACATGGAGGGGCGCATGCACATGGAGGGGCGCATGCACATGGAGGGGCGCATGCACATGGAGGGGCGCATGCACATGGAGGGGCGCGTGCACATGGAGGGGCGCGTGCACATGGAGGGGCGCGTGCACATGGAGGGGCGCATGCACATGGAGGGGCGCATGCACATGGAGGGGCGCATGCACATGGAGGGGCGCATGCACATGGAGGGGCGCATGCACATGGAGGGGCGCGTGCACATGGAGGGGCGCATGCACATGGAGGGGCGCATGCACATGGAGGGGCGCATGCACATGGAGGGGCGCATGCACATGGAGGGGCGCATGCACATGGAGGGGCGCATGCACATGGAGGGGCGCATGCACATGGAGGGGCGCATGCACATGGAGGGGCGCATGCACATGGAGGGGCGCATGCACATGGAGGGGCGCATGCACATGGAGGGGCGCATGCACATGGAGGGGCGCATGCACATGGAGGGGCGCATGCACATGGAGGGGCGCATGCACATGGAGGGGCGCGTGCACATGGAGGGGCGCGTGCACATGGAGGGGCGCGTGCACATGGAGGGGCGCGTGCACATGGAGGGGCGCATGCACATGGAGGGGCGCATGCACATGGAGGGGCGCATGCACATGGAGGGGCGCATGCACATGGAGGGGCGCATGCACATGGAGGGGCGCATGCACATGGAGGGGCGCATGCACATGTAGGGGCGCATGCACATGGAGGGGCGCGTGCACATGGAGGGGCGCATGCACATGTAGGGGCGCATGCACATGGAGGGGCGCGTGCACATGTAGGGGCGCGTGCACATGTAGGGGCGCATGCACATGTAGGGGCGCGTGCACATGGAGGGGCGCGTGCACATGTAGGGGCGCGTGCACATGTAGGGGCGCGTGCACATGTAGGGGCGCGTGCACATGTAGGGGCGCATGCACATGTAGGGGCGCGTGCACATGTAGGGGCGCGTGCACATGTAGGGGCGCGTGCACATTTAGGGGCGCGTGCACATGTAGGGGCGCGTGCACATGTAGGGGCGCGTGCACATGTAGGGGCGCATGCACATGTAGGGGCTCGTGCACATGTAGGGGCGCGTGCACATGTAGGGGCGCGTGCACATGTAGGGGCGCGTGCACATGTAGGGGCGCGTGCACATGTAGGGGCGCGTGCACATGTAGGGGCGCGTGCACATGTAGGGGCGCATGCACATGTAGGGGCGCATGCACATGGAGGGGCGCGTGCACATGGAGGGGCGCATGCACATGTAGGGGCGCATGCACATGGAGGGGCGCGTGCACATGTAGGGGCGCGTGCACATGTAGGGGCGCGTGCACATGTAGGGGCGCATGCACATGTAGGGGCGCATGCACATGGAGGGGCGCGTGCACATGTAGGGGCGCGTGCACATGTAGGGGCGCGTGCACATGTAGGGGCGCGTGCACATGTAGGGGCGCATGCACATGTAGGGGCGCGTGCACATGTAGGGGCGCGTGCACATGTAGGGGCGCGTGCACATGTAGGGGCGCGTGCACATGTAGGGGCGCGTGCACATGTAGGGGCGCGTGCACATGTAGGGGCGCATGCACATGTAGGGGCGCGTGCACATGTAGGGGCGCGTGCACATGTAGGGGCGCGTGCACATGT